TTACTGTATTCTGTCGTTTTATGTGGGGTTTAACTAAAGTTAATAATTTTCTGAAAGAAGCCTCGTCCATCCTAAGATAATTTTTAAAATCTTCGCTGCTGGAATCTTTCAATCGCTTCAGGAGTTTCATATGAGATAAATTTTCACGATCTCTTAACCATTCCTTCACCCAAAAACGTTTGCCATTTTTTCCGCGTTCATTAGTTAATAGCAAAATCAAAAGTAACAAAATAAGTTTCTTTTTTCTTAACATTTTACCACTGCTTTATTGTTCTTTTGTCTACACACTACAAGCAAGAACTGCGAAACTTTTGCGACGGACTGTGGATGTATGGCAAATAATGAGGCGACCTGCAGTTCTAGGACTGTCAGGCGATGGCCTGCAGGCCGCATCGTTTGTATACAACTGAACGTGTATGGTCTATATCGCAGGCCACGACTGCAGGTCAAATTTCAGTCCATTGCCTGCAGTCCGCCTGTACGTGAATGGGTACCATAACTACAAGTGCCGACTAAATCATTTGTAGGTCACAGGTGTACGTACGTTTTACGTTGGACGCTGTATCCTTTTTGTGACTTGTTGAATTTAGATGCCGCGGATTCATTGTTAGAAAAAGAAATTGAATTTGTAGCCCACTTTATACTGAAGCTGGTTAGAACTTATACTGAAGCTAGTTGAGAGCTGTAGTTAACGATTTCTTGTACTTTTCAAACTAAATATTCCAGCGCATTCAGTATCATCCCAAAATAATGTTTTGATAAAAGCCGTTAGAAGAGATTGTGACAGTGGCCAAACTAGAGGTCACACTCAATTTTGGCGCCCTCATAAAGAAGATACTAGTTAATACTATCTCCGACAATATTTGACGGAATAACTTCAACATTAGGGAGATATAAAGTTCCAAAAAGGCAAAAATTCTTCTCGCTTTTACTTCCTATGCCAAAACTGTAGTCGTTGCCACTGCCGACTGTGCAATGGGTAACAAACTCTAGCGGCTTGCGTACACATAATCCTTTATATACATATATGTATATATAAAGAGAAAATTATGATGCGGAGAAAGGTATATAACAAAAAATAAGAAATATATATATATATATATATATATATATTATCTAAAACCTTATATACTCGTAGGTGTAAGGTGCAATTACATTATTTCATTGTCTAAACTAATTAGTTATTATATACAAATTTAGCCCAGTCTTTCTTATTTCTCGCCCGGCGGACTGCTTCGTTCCAACTTATTCCCCTGTTCCTGAGTATTTTCGCCAATCCATCATTCCACGTCTTTTTCGATCACCCTCTTGCCCTTTTCTGTTGTACTCTTGCTTCCCATATGAGTTGTACTGGCCTTGTATCCTTCATCCTTGCTAAATGCCCAAACCATTTTAATTGGTTTTCTTCAATCCTTTGTAGTACAGATTCCACTCCCAGCTCTTCTCTAATACTTCGGTTCTAATTTTGTCTTTCCTAGTGACTCCTTTGACTGCCCTGAGGTATTTCATATCAATAGCTTGTAACTTGCTTTTTTGCCTGTTCGCTAATAGCCAGCTCTCACTTACAAATATCAATATGGGTCTGAATACTGTTCTAAACACGGTCATCTTTGTTTTTCTGCTTATGATATTCTTCCTTAAGAAAGATGTTTTCAATGTGTGATAGAGCCTAGATGTGTTCATTAATCTTTTGTTGATTTCCTCTTCCATTGTTCCATCACCTTGTACTCCTAGAAATTTGAAAGCTTCGACTTGTTCTATACGTGCGCCGTTGGTAACTATATTCATTCTATTCCCCTCTGATGTCGTCATCACTTTTGTTTTAGATACGTTAATATTTAAACCTCTCTTCGATAATTCCTTCCAGATTTTAAGGTTATCTTGTAAGTCTTTTGGGGTATAAGCGCACAATAACAGGTCGTCCGCGAATGCGCACTCAAGAAAAAGGGAAGTGACGCCACTGGATAGATAAACATAACGTGTAAGTGCTCTGATAGAAGGAAAAGAAGGAAAGTGGATTCGAGCAGAAAACAGGATAGCTAACCCGAGCGATACGTATTTCTGCTGGTTGGCTTCCTCAGGCCCGAAATGAATGCATATATGCGACTACATAAGTGGATACACATGCCCATACATCCGGATACGGGTGTAACCTGAGGAAACGAAGATGGAGGGGGAACAAAATTACACACGAAGTCCACAACAAGAGCCAACCTACACATTGTAGTATAAAATGGCTAGAAGACTACAATCACGTGCCATATGAATGAGCGTCTTAAGTACGGATATTAAAACATTAAGAAGAAATCGTCCATTTTAAATCACGTCTTCACTCTGTTAATCTGAATTCAGCAATTGACAGTCGACGGGGAACGTCCGATGACAGCGGTAGTATATGTAGACGAACGTCCGAGACAGTCGTCCAAACAGCTGCGACCCGATATCTGCCCGTAAATCGGTTTTGGTGTACGCGTACTGTAACTGGTGTCGTCACTGACACACCGCTACAGCAATATTTTGATATGAAGAGTACGTACCACCTTAGCGTTCTGCGATGCTTTTGTAAATGATGACTTAAATGCTTTTATACCTATCTACACATACACGGTGGCGCCTCGAAAACGAAACAGACGCATTTACTGGCAGGTCAGTTTTTTTTTGGAAAAACACTCAGACCCGTCGATTTTGTTTTCGAGGGGGACACAAGTTTGGTAAAAAATCATGTTAACACGTGCAGCCCCCTGGGCAGGGGTGACACCAACCCTAAAATCCTAAAATCTTAAATGGAAAGGGGGGTCGAGTGGTACCTTATTTTAAAGGTCTTTCAATTCCCTTTATAATGATGTAAAATACATGAGCTTCAGTTCAGTAGTTTTGAAGATTTATTGATTTAAATCTTAAAGTAGACTTTAATAGGTAGGTACGTCAGATGAGTTTGTACTACTTTCAGAAGAAATTTGACTTAAAGAATTTACTTAATAAGTAAATGCTTTTCTTCACTACGCCCATGGTTTGTTTATCATTTTGTTGTTGAAAATAGCTATTGGAGCGTTTTTTTGTGGCAAAAAAGTTATTTCTTGAAGAAAGATAAGGAAATATCTCGTACTTATTTTAAATAGGAATTTAGTATATGCGATTGATTTGACCAAACTTTGTTGCTAAAATAACTTGTAACCCTTTATTACATACATTAACCATGGTATATTCCACAGCAGAAAGAGTTGAAATTATCGAAATATTTTTCGCAAATAATCAGTGCGCTAATAGAACAGCAGAAATATTTAATGAGCGACATAGAACAGTAACGTGCATCGAAAATATGTTCTAGAACTTGTAGCTAAATTTCGGGAAACTGGGTCAGTCGCCAAGAAAATCCTATAAGGAACGAAGCAATAGAAGTGGGGGTTTTAGGCCGAGTTTATGTAGATCCTACGTTAAGTACCCGCAAATTGGAGACTGTGTGTGGTTCTTGTCCATCGTACTGTCCAATGGATTCTAAAGGCCCATAGTTTTCATCCGTATAAAATTCACCTGGTACAAGAACTTAATGAAGACGATTGTGATCGGCGATTACAATTTTGTGAAGATATGAGTGAACGAATTATAAACGATGAACATTTTCTATTCAACACTTGCTTTTCCGACGAATGTTCCTTTTTCTTAAATGGCGAGTAAATCGTCATAACTGCCGATATTGGCCTCAGAATTTATCATGAGGTTCATACACAGCAGCCACAAAAATTAAATGTTTGGGCTCGTATTTTTGGCGATCATTTAGAGAGTCATGGTGGCCATTTTCAATATTTACTTGCCTAACTGGTCAGTTCATTCTTCATTTTTAAATTACTTTGCTGCCAAATGTATTGATCTCCACTAATGATGATGTATTAGTTTTATTTATGCTTTAAATCAATAAATCTTCAAAACTACTGAACTGAAGAACATTAATTTTATATCATTATAAAGGGAATTGATAGACCTTCAAAATAAGGTATCACTCGACCCCCCTTTCCATTTAAGTTTTTGGGGGTGGTGTCACCCCCTTTTAGGGGGCTGCACGTGCTGACGTGATTTTTTCCAAACTTGTGCCCCCCTCGAAAACAAAATCGACGGGTCTGAGCGTTTTAAAAAAAATACTGAGCTGCCAGTAAATGCGTCTGTTTCGTTTTCGATGCGCCACCCTGTATATTTTTCTGAATTTTATGATCCTGAAATGTACCACCCATTTCGTCTAACCTTTAATTTGTGTTACTATCTTTAAGTAACAGAAAACTTGTGAACCGAAGCTCGAATATCATCGCAAGTTTAATACTTCCATCGTATAAGTAGTCATAGATTTTGAAAATTAATTCAGAGGCGGCGGAATTGAAATCGCTAGAACATAGTGTTACGTTTCAGAGAATCCTGATCATTTTCAGATATTGCTTGGAGGGGACGAAAATTGTAGGTGCGGTAAATGGTTGTAAATTGTTGTATATTTGGTATTCAGTGAAAGACCTTCTATTATTAAAGAGCTATGTTGATCTCTTTGTTACTATGTACCTGTTAGACATGATAAATCACACATGTTTTCTAGACATATGCCATGGAAACAGATAAGTGATAGGTTTGCTTTATGCAGAGGTCGCAGATTCACCGTACCTAAGTGAAACTGTCTAATCACGAGTCGATTTCGCCTTTTGAAACCATTTGACTCATCCCTTTTCTTTGAAACCCCCAACTAAGACGTAGCAAGTATAGAGTCAATCTACTTGACGCCATTTTTTATATTTATCTATATTAATAACCAACTGACAGCACTACCCAGTTTCATTTTGTAGGCACTGTATATATGGTTTCCATTTTCAGATTCCCTTTACACTGTTCGATGGCCTATTCTTTTCTGCAGTCGAAAAACTATTGAAAAAGTTATCGTTTTGGGCTAGGAATATAAGAGGTGTAAAATTAATTAAGTTGACTTTAAAAAATTGCTTTTTCACGTATACATTGCTTTGTTCTAGGAATATGTGGAATGTGTGGCGTACGGTTCTGGAGGAAAACGAGAAACTGGCGAGAGCTAGACTGGCAGCCATTGAAGTCTTTCAGCAGCAGATAGCAGATGATGCAAAGCTGCTGAGAGCACATAAAATGCAAATGGCCAAAAAGGTAATAAGAAAATCTATTTTGATCGTTATTGTCTGTCAAGGCGGTCCATAGGAGCTTTGCCGATGTGTCAAAGCATACAAGGGTGAGGACATTGATACTGATTCTTGCGTGTTTAGTATCTTCTAGACAAAAATAATTGCTGAATCAAATAAAACCTTCGCAGTGACCTTTTTTTTATGATTATTTGGCATTTTGTTTACAAATTTTTCATAGATAATATTTTTGCATTCGCCTTTTTCCATGTCAAAATCCAGCATTGCAAAATACTGATCCTTCAGTTCTCATTGAACTTGATTATTCAATAAAGTTCCTTCAAACACAGAATGCAGGGAGGAGTTAAAAGCCTGCGAGACGTGAACAGAATCAATTCCATTCTCCTTTTGTATCATTTAATAACGTTTGACATTGGTGGTCTTTTGTGTACTGCGATATTCATTTACCCGTATCGGGGTTTCTTACGAAACTTTGAAATGTTAAAGAAATAATCAAACGTAAAGGGAACGTTGACAGTATCTTTATAAGCAGAATTTCCAAGGCTTTTATAAATAATGAAGCTAAGCACATAGACTTGTGACTTTCTTTACATAAATATAGATTACATTTGAGTTATGGATGCGTACAGACTAAAAATATTCTAGAATAACTAAAATAGAGGGAATTAAAAAACTCGAAGGACATGTAGAAATCGAAGTTGGGGAATAATATGTTATTAATCAATTTTTGGACGGCCCATAAATGAATTTTTATTGCATGCACAACAAATGTTGGAGTTTAAGAGCCGTATCGTCATTTGTAGGACGCCTTTGTGGCCTCCTTCATTTTCATAGTCTTTTCTCTCCTTCAGAAAGGCTGGGGCATTTCTAGATTTCTACTGTTCTATTGTAAGGCTATGTTTTCTTTTTCAATTGTGAGAAATTTCAGGCTGATATAACAGATGATGTAAATCAAAACCCTGAACAATTTGATGCAAATAGATATCAGTAGCTTAACCTCAAAATAGAACGCTGACATGGAACAGTAGAAAACTAAAGAAAAGGAGGCCATAAAGGCGTCCAACCATTGTAGGAACGACCGACGATACGACTTTAAAAGAGGGAGGATAACAAATTTCAGAAAGGTTCTGCAAATCCATCATGACTATGGCGGAAAATGTAGTTTAGATTTAAAGGATGCGCTCCACGAATGCTTGGACTAAGCTTGAAAAGTCATAACCACATTTGAAATCAAGATTCCTTCATATTATATGTTTCTTCTTGGCTATTACTTCGCTTTCATTACAAAATATTATAAAAATTCACACTGTACCCACAAAATTGCGCTTCTCGAATGATATGAAACTCAATAATATTTCTATTTCTACTTTTCTCACGCATTTAGGCTAAAGCGAATGTAATAAAAATAAACACGAGAAAACAGCAATCCCACCTTACAAGCATTCGAAGTACTACCCTGTAACTCACTTAATGGCAGGGGAGTTGTCCTTCCATGGCGAGAGATAGTGTCGATAGAACTGGGTTGTCGAGTCCGAGCCTATTTTTGGAATAAACCTTTTGAGTAGTAAAATAGCTGTCTTGATACTGATCATAAAACAGTACAATGATGGCCATGATATTTCTCAATTATATTATCAGAAATCACAACACATTGAATGGGGGAACGGTAGCTTCATACCGCATGGAAGTCACGCCTGATGCGGAAATACCTCGCACGGGGAACCGTAGCTTCCTACCTTGCACGGGGGAACTGTAACTTCCTATCGCATGAGAGTGGGTATTACGTATTACGTATCTTGAAAAGTGACATTTTATCGTTTTCTGTAGGTTTCTTGTGACATAACGTAGGTTTTTCTACAAGATGTTACTCAGCACAAGCTGTTGTACACTTGTTGTGAACTTGTTTTGTAGCTGTACGTGTTGCTTAAATGCCTGCAATCGTAGCGAGCAAACGTGGAATGTTCTATTTTGCACACTAAAAATTACCTAGTCTGCAAGATGACATTTTGTCGTTTTTTTACATTTTATGTTTTTTTACATAATACCACTGCCGTGTTTATGATAACCTTCCTACCGCAAGGAAATCACGCCCGATGTGGATACCTTAATAATCTGGTACTTAGACAGATATCAAGATTTTTGGTTGTTACGAAAAGCAGTCCAGAAACCAGGAGATCCGGTGGCTGTGTCAATAGCCAAAAGCTCCGACATTACCTCTAATTCAGAGATTATTGAACAACACGACAACTTTGAAGTAACAATCCCTATACACAACCTGCCATGAGATACTTTCAGACTCCAGCGATTGGGAGGCTACGCGGTCACACAGCCCTAGGATACCACTTCAGCCAAAAGGCCGTTGTGTCAATATTCAAAACGGTCCGACATTACCCCTGACAGAGTAAACCGATCAGTAAGTACCCTCCCCCCGGCACTGTAATTCTCATAACAGCCTCCAGGATCTGGAGGCATCACAGCTCTGTAGATGTTTGACTTTAAGTAACGTCTAACTATATTCTAACTTTTGTTAAAGATATCTCATTTGACTGTTTTTGACTTATGACAATTATTATTGTGATTATAACTCAGTGAAAACCCTTACGGTTTGATATCTTTTAAGTTTTGCATATAGAAACATAGTAGGCCGCGCGGATCGAACGTCAGTACTGAATCTTGACCTCACTTTTTAATAAACTCAAATTCAAAGTTTCACAACAATACGTGCAGCGTTCTCACTACAGTCATTAGAAAAACGGAATTCAACCGAGAACATTTTCGCGCCATAATTTATTACAACTTTCAGACAATTATCTCAACAAGAATGCCTACTGTCTGTTTTCGACAACGAAGCGCCACATCAGTCGACAATTTCCCGTTGGTATGGAGAATTCAAACGTGGACGGGTGAGTTTTAGCGACGATCCCAGGGTGGATGCACCAAAAATGGCAGTCACCCAGGAAAACGTCGATGCTGTGCGCAAACTCATCATTGAAGATAGACATGTGACATATTGCGAGATTGAGACCTTGAAGATCTTAAAGAATTAGGAGTAAGAAAATTAGTTTGTTGTTTGATACTCCACCTGTTGACTGAAGAGCAGAAAGCAGCCAGGGTTAATTGGTGTCAAAAAACACGTACCGTTTAAATTCCGGAAACTCAAAAAATGTGTACAGCATAGTTAGTGGTGATGAATCGTGGATTTACCGTTATGAACCAGAAAGTAAACGACAGTCGGCTGTTTGGGTGTTCCAAGTTGAAGAAAAGCCAATAACAAGTCATCCGTTCTAGAAGTGTTTCGAAAAAGATGGTCGCGACATTTGTGTCAAAAGCGGGTCATATTGCAACAATTCCTCTTAACGAACAAAGAACTGTTACTGCGGATTGGTATATCACCATTTCTTTGCCAAAGGTCTTACCGAAAAATCAACCCCGAAAGAAGAATCATCCTCCACCAAGACAATGCAAGCTCGCACACAGCCCAAAAAACAAGGCAGTATTTAACGGAAGAAAAGGTGGAATTATTGGACCATCCTCCATATAGTCCCAACGATTTCTTTACTTAAAAACAGACAGCGTGGTCAAAGGTTCCAGTCACCAAAAGAAGCAGTTGACGCATTCAAAAATGCCGTTTTGGATCTTCTACCAGCAAACGAGTGGAATAAGTGCTTCGAAAATTCGTTCGAGCGCATGCAGATGTGTATTAATCTTCGTGGAGAATACTTCGAAAAACAATAAGGTCATTTAAAACTACCTACCGTGTTGTTTTATTTCCATCTGCAAAACTTAAAAGACATCCCTCGTAGGTCGAGATCGAGGAATTGTGTTTCTGTTCTTGTGCTGGTGCTGCATAATGAGAAAAATTCTTAGGAAGTGAAACATCAATCAATATCAACAATCTGTTGCATTCGGTAGTAGCTAAGGCGGAAGAAAATATACCATATTGAAACCGTGTCGTTTGATATATGTTGGGGTATCGATGTTACATCGGTTGTAACCGTTAACATTGAAGTGTTTTCCTATCTTTGGCATGTTACAGCAGCCCTACCAAAGTGCACATTCTCATAAAACTCGGTCATGTATCACCCATACTTAACAAAGTGTACATACTGCGTAAAGTTAAATCACTAACAGAAAAACCTTCCATGTTCAGACTTTTTAACATTGTTTTGAGGTATCATCTACATTCAATGAGGGTCGATAACAATTCTAGCACATTTTTCGCGGTCTTTGGTAGTATGAATTCGGGACGTTGAATTCATACCGGTCCAGTACGAATATTTTTGAGCTACGAGTGTTGCCTTAGGCCAGGACCGCGTTTTCGTCTTTCCTAAATTATCTGATGATATGATTTAGCTGTTGTACATTGTTATTTTTTTCATTACGCTATACGTGTCACAAGGTTTGATTCAGCTGAATAACTATTTTGATTATTTCGATATTAGAATTAGCGTGAAAATATTCTAGGTAGGCAACGCATGTGCGAATGACCAACGAACAGGTTTAAATACATTGTTGCCAAAATTGACTAGACCCACGCAATCAAATGCCTCATTCAGATCGAAAGATATTGTTAGTGTACATTTATTTCTATCTAGTTGACTATATACAGGATGGTTAATATATAACTGACTGATTTAAATTGTGTGCCATTTTTGATACACGCATTTCAGTAGGTGGCGCCATGTGTTCAATTCATCATGGAGCGCTACACGATCCCACAACGCGTCCGTATTGTTAAAATGTTTTACTTAAATAATGAGTCAAATTGCTGCAACGATATGGAAGCTACGACAAGATTTCGTTCCAAATAATGTGCCCAGTGTCAACACCATTCGTGAGTTGGTGCAGAAATTTGGTGATTTCAAAGAGTTGCCAAGGTCGGGCCGTGTTCGAAGTGTTCGTACTCCAGAAAATAGTGAGAGTTCGGGAAAGTGTAGTGGAGCGCCCTGAGACGTCTACCAGACATCGTTCTGAAGAACTGGGTATTCGTCGCATGTCATTATGCACTTAAAAAAAAGACTTTCATTTGCGGCCAACACCAGCTGCAGAACAATATTACGTAAGCGATTGAAAATATTCGTCCCGAAACCTACCAAAAAGTGATGGAAAATGTAATTAAGAGGGCTCAGGTTTGCGCGGCTTCTAGATATTATTCTTCATACATAATTTCTAAGTTTCAATAAAAGACTAAGATGAAAAAAATTGGACGTATCTTATTTCATTTCACAAATATTCAAGATTCAAACCAGCCAGTTACATATCGGCTACCCTATGTAAAAGAGAAAAGAGAGAAAGCAACAGAGTTGATGAAGCAACCTCTTCTAAAGCCATGTTGCTTAAGTTAATATATTGTAAGCATCTTCAAAATTATGCCTTCGTCTATAGTTGATTTTTTCTTAGAGCTTAGAAAAACTAGATGGCAATGTTTTAGGACGGTAACTTTCGACAGATTCAGTGTCGCCCTTCTTATGAATCGGTAGAACTACAGATAACTTGAAGTCCTCAGGAAAAACTCCATTGATTAAAGATAGATTGAGCAGATATATTAACAGGTGAATAAGATATGTAGCCAAGTGCTTAAGGGTCTTAGGTGGCGGCCCGTTAATTCCAGCGTTAGATTTATTTTTCTGTTCTTGAAAAGCTGTATGAAAATGATCAGGAGAAATCGCATGTACAGCCATGAATCTAATATTACAGGATGTGACCCTACTATTTGTAGCCCTTATACTCCGTGCTTAATTGCACGTCTCGTCGGCTTGAACGGAGCCTGGTATATCAATGGTGGCGGTAAAACGATGTTATAAGGATTTTCTGGACGTGAACTGAGACAAGCATGGCGTCTCCAGGAGACGTAATTCGGGAAATCCTTATTTACTGCCACTTCAACCTACTGGAGAATGTGAGTCTGATGCTTGCAGAATCTGCAACTACCAACGGCCATATAGAGGCCCCTGTGCACACAGGAGCTAGAGGGATATGGCTGAAGCAGCCTCGGGGCAAAAAAGTGGAGGTAGTAGGAGTAATGGTGGTGGTAGGGAAGCGAAGCCTTTAAACTAGGCCTAAGCCACCTTTTACCCTTTTTGTGGGCCCCGTTGTACCAACACTATACTCCTTATCTGTTCATGGGATCACCTTCAGGTCCGAAACCATTATGAATACACAATTTCTCTGCTCTGGGGGACCATGAGGCTCGAGACCTTTCGGAGATTGAACTGGGCCAAGTCAGCCTTGAAGAATTGTAACGGTTCGAGACGTAGCTTTCGTAGAGGTTCACAGGAAGTTCAATATTTGAATAAAATTTAAGAGATCGAATTTTGAATCAGATTAATATTCTTTCACATGCGTAAACAAAGGAAGTATTGTTAGCTCGCAAAAATGAACGAATTCAGTGTATATCGAACGTATATTTTGGCCTGTATGTTAATATGTTTGTCTGCTCGTAGCTTTTTTGTAACGAGATAAATTTGGATGGCAGTATTATTCATCAAAACGACTCCATTGTCTGGCACAATTAAACCACATACATGTTTAAATTCTTGTTTATTGTACGACGTTTCGGCCACTACGGTGGCCTTTTTCAAGTAGAATGACAGAATATTTTGTTTATCTGTCTTTCAGGTGACAGTTCATTCCTTTTTTTTTCTCTTCATTCCCATACAGTATGTCGAGACAACGGTCCGGTAGCATGCCAAGATCGCGCAAAGGACGCCAAACCTCCCAAAGCGACAAGCGAGCACCCACGTCCATTGTCCCGAAAACGCCAAAAGTTCTTCCGAGAACGCGAAAACCCACCAAGAACTGTTATTTATCGCAACATACTAGATAATATTACTCTGCAGTCTTCGACTACCAATGCTGCATGTGCACTGTTTATGGATCTAAAATGCGAGTAATACGGCGAGACAATGGAGTCCTATGAACATGAAAACCACGGAATAAATTCCAGTCGTTACATTGAGAATCAAGTATCCCCAAACTCCATTACATCACCTTCTTGGAGATTTCGATCGTTCTTGGGAATGTCAAGCTTTTTAAGAAATCCAGGCTTTGTTTTTGACCGTCTTCGATTTTTTAAGTGTGTCAAACCTTTAAGAAAAATTTAGAATTTGTTTATGTACGTTTGTGAATTACTACGTATACTACGCAACGTTCTTTTGGTGATCAAAATTTGTGAGTTTGATAGGAATGAGTGTACAATTTGAAAATGAGCTAACACCGGAGCATGTAGGGTGTACTGAATCAACCTACTTGATTCTATTTCTCTGTAATATTGTTCTTTACTAAAATTTACGTAGAATATTATCTAATGCTGCTCAGCTGATTATATTAAAAATCATTCTCGTATATTAATTCTGTTCTTATGCCTTTTTTTCATTTTTTAGTGTGTAGATCATTTAGCAATAGCACAAAAGGAACTACAGAATTGTGTACAAGAGGTGGATAAAACAAAGAAGCTTTATTTTGACGAAGAACATGGGGCGCATGAAGTAAGAGATAAGGCAAGAGATATTGAAGAGAAGTGAGTATATTGTTTATTCAAAAAAAAACTATTGCTGTGATGTACACGTGCAACAGAAGCTCCCTTTCTCATTTAAATACACGACACAAACATTGCAATCTACACTCTCAATAGGTACTTTTGCTTAGCTTAATTCACGTTCATATTCATATTCTCGGTGTATCGATACTATAGAATAAGGCTCTGTTAGTTTAGTACCAGACATGCTCAAGACATTTATCTCAATCTCGTATCGACATGTTTCAAGTTCACAACTAGAACAACTATCGATTTACAAATAAAAACCCGTAAGAAAACTCAATTATATAAAAGGTCTCTTAAGAGCCGAATATCTGGTGCCGTTTTTATGTTTTTTCCTATACCGTATCAGAGCAAAACGTATAATCCAATTTCGATTTTATTCAGCTCTCTCGGATTACATTTTTTTACAATTGACGGAAAATCTAATATCAGCACTCACGAGTAAACTGTCCTCGTTATGGAAACGTTAGCAGTGGCGTACTTAGATCCTAAAGCTAAAGCTTTTCAAGAAGTAGAAAATTCCTATTTTTAATGTACACTCAGGTCCCAAATAAACGCAACAAGGGAAATCAAAATGATGTTTCATCACTCCAACTTCGAGTCGCTCTGTGGTGTGAATCCAGTTGCCAATCAGACCACAATGCTTCCTATTATCATGAACCACATTTTATCTATAATCTGCTTTTTTTATTTACGTGCATATATACAGTGGTTGAAATTTGGACATTTCAGCACCAATTTTCCTTCCTCATCTGATAACTTTTTTAATTCCCGTACGAATTCAAAATTTTTTTAACCAAATTGTACAGAAATCTATTATCTTTCTGCGTTAGGATCACATTTTTTCCAATCGCTATTGACACCGTTTATCTGCTGTGGCGGCTCATTTTCAAATTGCATACTTTTTGACTTTGTAGGGAAATTGAAAAAATTATGAATATAAGAAGCAAAATTGGTGGTCAAATCTTAATTTGACTCTAAAACTTCTACCACTGTATATATTGACGTGAATAAAAGTCAGATTATTGAGAAAATATGGTTCTGGATAATGGAAAGCATTGCGGTCTAATTAGCAACTAGATCCACACCACAGATTGACTCAAAGTTTGAGAAATCAATCATTAATTTGATTTATCCTATACAACCAGTCAAAGCGTGACTACAATCAAGAACTCATGTTTAAATAATAAATTCAATGAGCGTACCTACCTCCTTCCGAATTAATCAATGGAATCGGGTGAAAAATACATAAATTTTAACGTTACAAATTTGACCTTAAATTTGCTTATTGCGCTTATTTTGAACCTGAGTATATATAAAATGAGTTTGTCATGGAGATTATCATCACTAACTTTAAATAGTTCAAAAATGGGATAAACAAGATACTTTAACTCTTTAGTCGCGGTACCTTGGTATTTAGGATTTCAATTCACGTCTGTTATAGTATGTAGTTTCTCTACATATCTTATTCATGAAGAATTGTTTTATTGTACCAAACGGGGCATCTCAAAATAAGATGGCAATAGCTCGCATGCTTATAGAAACTAGTATTAGAAGTTGCCATGAAAAAATATCCTACGGAGTTACAAGCCCTAGATGACGCTGTCGAGAAGAATTTTCCTCAAATACCTTTTGAACGATTCAACTGAATTTTGATAGCATAATTACCACCCAGCGCCTCATATGATCGTATTAACAGAAAATAACTCAATCGGTTCGCCAGGAATCGGCTAGCATTAACACAAAAGTGCTAATACTTTATCCACCCTGTATAATAATGACTCATCTAAGACATTTTAAGAACGCCTGATCTTTCCCCTGACAAAACGTACTCTTGTTTGAAGTACAGTAACAATAATATTAGTTGAAATGAGCATACTTGCTTTCCGTCTCTGTAAGCTTAACCAACCGCAGACAGTTTTGTTTCGTAATCATAAGCGACTCATCAGTTCGGTATAAGTCTAGTCTTGGAGACAGACGAACAGGAAGCAAACAAGTAGGTTTATGCATACACGCATAGAGAAAATTGCGAGTTTTTTTAGAATACTTAGTTTTCTGACTCCGTGACGAGACTGATGGTGGTGTGACATCTTGTAAATAGCTCAGAACGTCCAGAAGCTATGGGCCAGAGAACGTAAGGGTCCTATGTCATCATATCGTATGGGATGAGGATGAAGATCAGCTTGTCAAACTATTGGTAGGCTTTTTTCATTGCCTACTTACACACGATATTTTGGTCCTAGATACAATATACTGGTTTTGACAATATATTGTTTCTAATAGTAGATTCGTAATAAGAGAGCCACAAAACCCGTAGACCCTGAGCGCAGCAAAATCAACGCTCCCTGGGGATCCCAAATTCTAATACCTTGACATTTCACGCTAGTTTGTGAATACATCCATTTTTGGCAGAATAATATGTTTCTAGGTCCTTCATATCACCAAACGCTTATCACAAAGTTTACTTCGTCTTTGTTCAGACTGATGGACGAAGGCGAGACTTCTGTACTTTTTCCCGATAATGACTGCGGAGCGACTTTTCATCAGTGCTCAGGCATACAGCCCCCGAAAGGCAAGAGAACCACGCCCAGTTGCTCTCGTTTTCAAAAATATGGCTTTAGAACCTTGTCGACCATTTTGTGGAACGGTAGGAACAGTGCTAAAACAAAGCTGCCTTTCTCAAGTATAGATCATTCCATGGAAATCGCATAAGAATTCGTTTTTGTGCAAAAAATGCTTCTCAAAAATATTATATTAATAAAATGTCAGCAATATTGTGGACTAGTCCGTCTTTGCTGATTCACATAACTTTATATTTTTTAATAAACACCGTCATGTGACACAACTGGTTACGATGCTGTCAAAATTACCTTGAGGGTTATTTATTTTCCAAACCAAATATCAGAGTGCCACTTAGGGACCTGTAACTCCGAAATAAAACACCGTAGGATATTTTTGTATAACGTTGGACTGGCGTATCCAGCACAGAGTTCTGAAGGGGGTTCAGATCACACAAAAGGTATAATGACATCAAGTCCTATAAGTTTGTGGTATCCAACGTCAGGTAGTCATCATACATACATGGACAACCAAATTTGTCTGACGGCTTGAGCTCAATGTGTACGAGAGAGAAGCGCGAGAAGTGTGTGTAGAAACCGGCTGAAGAGCTAAGGTCATCACCACATTGCCTAGCAACGGTGACGCAAAAGGTCGTGCAGTCTGCCGCGGTGCCAATATGTTAGGCCATACAAATTATCACTGCCTGCGTTTACGCAGGTGAAAACCATTTCGAAGCAGGACGACACTCCCCAATCAGCGCTAGATGGGTACTGACCAAAATCGCCTTGGAATGTACACCATGGGGTGTTATCAAACGAACCAATAATGCCATGTTGCAGGATTTGTGCCGATCGTGACCTTTCATTTCGGCCTAAAATTGAGCGCCGGTAGGACCGATCGGGAATTAATTCTAGACATATTTGACAAAATTCACAATTCAAAAGGATTCAAAGGATAAACTAACGTATATTTTCAATATGCATCTCAAGGAAATATATAGGCACCGCGGCAGAATGCCGCGTCAGCGTTGCTAGGCAACTTTGCTAGCTAGGCGGCTTCTATCTGTTTCTAACATATGTGTCTATACACACTTCCTTCTCGTACACATTGAACTCAAGCCGTCAGATAAAATTGGTTCTCAGTGTATACAAAGTCTTGTACAGGCGCAATCGGACAATTTGGTGTCACACGTAACTAATTACGACTTAAGACTGTGCAAGTAAAACTTACGTGTAGAATAAGTGTCTGTACCAACCTTAGTGGCAACCAGATCACAAAAACTTGCCTCAAAAATCGTAACAAAATCACTGCTAACATTTCATCCTATACATTTTCAAAAATCGGCAAAACATCATTATTTCTGAATAAGAGTCAAATATTGTTTTGAGTTTCAAGTTAGACACAGGTATAGAAAATTACTATTGCTGTTTTGTATGAGAAAAACATATTATCTTATGGACTCTGGGAGGGGCTTAACCCTAAATACGCCTTTGGGAACTTGTGACACTATTTCTTGCTTTCTATACGAATTTGAGACACTGCCATTATATTCTGGGAGTAATTCTGATTTGAAATTAAGCTTGGTTGCTGAATCTGAAAACCGCACCACCCTGTGCTGCATTAAATCTGTTTCCCACACCAAATATGAAAAACATTGTGAATTGAGTGACTTCGAGTGCATTTTGCAGGCTGAAGAAAAAGAAAGGTTCCTTTTTCCAATCAATTACCTCGTTACAAAAGAACAGCGCCAAGTTTTCCACGAAGCGCGACCAACTGGAGGAAAAGTCCACTGGAGCTAGGAACGATTACCTTTTGTGCCTCGCGGCGGCCAATGCTCACCAGACCAGGTAATCATTCTAGTCACGTTTTTGTTGTTGCTTTGTGCATGGCTTTAGCACATACTCTAGGTGTTTCAGGATGAATTCCATCGAGATCTAGTAAAATATTAAATCGAGTGATAATGTACGCGCCTTTATTCCATTCTGTTGGTGATCATATACTAGGTGTTTTGAAAAAATTCTGAGCTGGCATATACAGGAACCCAATGTGGAGGATATCAATAAGCGTTTCTAAATATCAGTGAATACATGCTACAAAATTATAATAATAAAAATAAACGACTTTTATTTAGTGTGAAACAAACATTCATTCGAAAACTGTGATTGTGTATTCAACATTTTTGAAAGTTAAAATTGTTTAAATTTTAGTTATGCTTACTTATATTCGTCATTTTTAAACATATCAAAAAATTAATTTATATCAATCTGTAAAAATTAATTACAGCACAAAAGAACTGGATTAATTGGTTTCTGTTTAAAAGCCTGATTTTACAGTTAGATTGTCAATTTTTTTTTCCATGGTGACTGAATAGAGAAATATCCGTTTTTTAAGCAAGTAGCAGAAACCTTTGAACAGACTGATTACAACCTCATATTAGAAAAAGCTCATAAAAATGGATATCCGACAGTTCAAAAATATATAGGGCGTTCCATTTAATTTTTTTGCGAAGAAAATTACATCTAGCGTTTTTGGCTACGACGTATTGATCATTCAATGAATTCAAGAAATGGATGAAATAGGCTAAAATTGGGTATAATAAATCCCTTTGACACAAAGTTCACTATTCCAACTATCAAGATAGCAGACTCAGATTGTCAAACTTTGACGTTTTTTTAGATAAAGTACCCAATAGCTCAACTAATTGTCAAAACTCATAGGTCTATCATATCAATACCTTCGTTCTAAAAGGATCTATCCGAATATGTAATAAGAAAGTTGGTAATTCCATTAACAATAATAATCTTTGATATGAAGGTCATGTGAATGTTTTAGAAATATGTCTTGGTATCATATATAATAATCCATAAATGATTTATTTGCATAGTTTTTGTTAAGGAGCAATATTCGGTTCTCGCACGGTTTGGACAGCCTGAGGTCAATGTCGTTTCTGCAGGGATGAAAATTTTCAATTCCTACGCCACTGGTGTAGTCTGAGCTTTTATTTACAGGGTGACTGCGAAAGGTTGGGAAATCTGATGAAAGCTGATAGTTTGCGAGATACAGGGTGTCAAAGTTACAATTTTATTTTCTATGTTTCCTTATTGCTTGAGAAGTATTTCAGATTTTGGCATAAAACTCGATATAGGGAGGTTTTCTAGTATGAGAAATAAGAATCCGTTATTTTTTATTCCCAAACTTCTGGAGGGCGCAACTTACCGCACTATGTCGGTAAATAACTTATCATAACTTTTTGTGCTACCCTGTATACAACAACTGACCGAAAAATCTTATTTTCTCGTATTTCCACAACAAAAAAGTTTTACTTGTTAGAAGTATCTAAAGCTAATAGTTTTCGAAATATTTCTAATTTGTCATTGTAACTTTGACACCCTGTATCTCGCAAGCTATCAACTTTTGGACTGAGGTATGTTTAGGTCAATTCACATATTTTGGTCAGTAGTATCTCTAGTTTCGAGATTTCTAACCTTTCGCAGACACCCTGCATATTTTTCATGCAAAATGTCAATTCCTTAGTACACATATTTTCTTCCATTTAAAAATTGTAACATCCTGTATCTCCAGGAGGGGGCATTTTCGACACATGATCACGTATATAAGACTTTTCCTATTATTCTTAGATTTACAGTGTACCTCTAGAAATAATTCAACTATTTTTTGAACCACTATCACATTTTGTACCACCTTTAGGATACACATTTTGAATTCATATCTAGTTTATACTATAATGTGCTTTTTCCTTAAGGTACTTTGTGGTGGACCTTCAACAGTGCATGCAGGCTATGGAAAGCGGTGTATACGAAAAAGTGGCTGAATATTTGACACTGATGGGAAGGACAGAGCTGCTGACATGTTCTGCTATGCAGAATTCATACAGCACCATCCGAGACCAAGCCAAACAACTGACTAGGTAAAGTAAATTTGATATTTTATACAGAAGACCTTGATAAATATTTCCTATTTTTTTACTTTTATAGTTTAGACGTTTTTTAATGAGATCGCACTTTGATTAACTCAAAATAAAAAATGGTGAGTAGTTTGACACAGTGCTTCCAACATGTTGATATATCTATTTAACGTTCAAACTACACAATTTTTCCTCCCTAAATGACTAGACTGCTGAAAAACGTCAAAAAGTTACGCACAAAAGTAACCAAAGGTTAAAAGCATCGTCAGATAAAGTTTGGACGTGTTCTGAAATTTTTTGCCCATAACTTCACTGTCACTGGACGACTTTAAAGCCTACAAAACTTATTTGTGCTTGGTATGATACTATTCTGGTGTTCAAAACTACACTAATGGAAGTTCTGTTGTATTTAACGAGTTCTAATCGGATTGATTCTGATTCTAGATTCAGGATTTGGTTTACTAGCTGTTCATTTGTCGGTTTACAAGGCGCAAGCTGTCCGGTTCAACGGAAACAGCACGTAAGATAAGAATTTGATTATAAATGCACAAAGAGGGAAAACCATCAGAAAAATTCTCAATGATGACTGTGATTGTCCTCTCCAAATTTGCAAATAAACTGTTGCTCGGTATCTGAGAATATTGGTCGTCGTTGCTCGTTGTACTGGGAGTTAAACTATTTTTTCTACAGCCTAGTGTATATTTGTCAAACTTAAAGGCGTAAATTTCAAAATACTACGTTGCACTGTTACCCGCCTACGACAGATGTCACTTCTTGAAAACGAGGTAGTAGAATATCTTATAGAAAGTGAGCGCGGTTCTACTATTCCTCTATGAACTGTATCCTTTAACGCTTCCCTGATAGATACGAGGTCTGTAAATTAAGCGATGAGACGGGCAACGCAGCCTTCGATTTCGCAACACTAGAGACGCCCGGCTTGGAGGGGGAGACAGGGGAACATGTGATCCGCCTTCAGTGCAAGTTTGAACTCGCTCGAGTCATTAGATTGTCCTAATCAATTTTTTTGTGAAATAGTTTTTCCTACTGTCTTCTAAAAATCAATGACATGAATTTTGGTTGACAGTCAGAGCGATCGGTGAAGAGTTAAATTTGACTCACACCAGCGTCCAACAGATCAAGAACAACTCGGCGTTGTATCACGATAATGCTCCTTGTGACACAGCAATGTCAATAAACGAGTCTTTGGTCAGTAAAAACATTTTTGTCGCTCCTCATCCTCCTTATTCATCTAACTTGAGTCCAATGGCTATAACCGACCAGCTGAAGGCGGCAGTATCTGAGTTCAAGTACCGCTATGGTGCTTCAGAAGGAAGTTATTTTGAGGGTGACAATATGAAGTTGTGATTATGTTTGAATAAAAAAATTAAAAAAATTAGTCTCATCTCTTAATTTACAGATCTCGTAAGCTGTTTCCCTTGATAAATAGCAGGAAAAAAGCGATACAGGAATCACACCATCGTCAATCAGTATCATATCTAAATATGTAGTTAATTTCGTGAAGAAACATTTAATGATATGAAAAACCTGTCAAAAATGGACGTATTCACAAACTTATTCACGTCAGAAGCTGCCAGAAAAATGCCTCTAAAAATGAGAGAACTACGCCCACTTTCTTCATATTATGTAATTATTTTACTGACTCATTTTCAAGAACAGATATGGACAATGGATTGAAATATTGTTGCAGCCGAATTTTGTACCCGTTAAAGATATTTGACAAGCTAAACTACATGATTCCTTTTTAGGGAATACAACCTGCAATGCTGCTACCTCTTCTACCCCGTACTGAAACAGCACATAACGTACGACTTTGACCGTTGTGACAACGACCCTGTGGACAAAGTAAGCGCACCAGTCTCGGCTGAATGTCAAGAAACCTTGGCCAAAGAGGCTCGAAGATGGGCTACCAGGATAGCCAGGGATGTCAATACTATAAGGGAATGCACGCGCAAGTTGCAGATGTATAATAGTATGAGAGAACAGGGACAAAAGGTAAAGGGGTAGTATGAAGAAATATTCTTAATTTGTTTGATATTTTATAATTATTATTAATATGATATCAGGTAACCAAATAAGTTCGTGCGGTGTTTAGTAGAAAAATATAATTTTTTATTGAGAAACAATAATACACTATTCGTCGAAGTAATTACCATCTCATTCAATGACCCTTTGCCAACGTGGAACCAATTTTTATATGCAGGTATTATAGAACTCCCTGGATTTGGAGGACTGCATTTATTACACCATCTCGAGTTGTGGACTGTCAGTGCCTCATACAGTTGCCAAGAGACAAAAAAAGTTGATAATCACTGGGCGAAATGTCTGCAGAATATGGCGGGTGCGGTAACGTTTCCCAGCCGAGATCAGAAATTTTTTCTCGGGTCACTCTTGCGGTTTAAGCCTTGGCGTTATCCTGCAAGAATATCACTTTCTTCCGATTGATCAAAGAAGGCTGTTTCTGGATGAGTGCTGCTTGTACTCGTTGAAGCTGCTCACAATACAAGTTAGCAGTGATGGTTTGACCCCTTTCCAAAAACTCATAATGGACAATTCCAGTTGCTGATCACCAAACACACAACAACACCTTGTTTGGGTGCAAGGAAGCCTTGGGCGTGTGTGGTACCGAATCATAGTAGGCGACAACCTATGATACAAATGCTTAGAATTCGAATACAAGATCCATTTTTCGTCGCAGGTTAATAACCGTTTAAGAAATGGCGTGAAATGCTTACTGAACAAATGGTAAGACGACTTAATTTGTTATCATTTATCAGTTCATGTGGGACCTATTTACTTAACTTCCACGTCTTTCCTAGCTGATGAAGATGCAAACGAATAATTTCAGGACTCACTCTGAACATTTCTGCAAGCTCTTGGCACGTCCTGGAGTTTGCGTCCATAACCTGTTGAAGATCCTATCGATCAACAACATCCATGGTAATGTGCGATATACAGCAACCGCACAAACTTATTTCTTTACCTGATAAAATGATCATAAAGGCATGAAGGCAAATATCGAAGTACCAGGTATTTTTTGGAATGCCTAATCTTTTAGTTGGAAAATGCTTGATTTTGATAAACTGATCTATTTTTGAATATCGTGCTTGAATACTTTTCCTATCAATTGACTTTGCAGCTCATCCCTAAAGAGTTCTGCAATAATCTAAACCTTGATTACATGATCTGATAATTTATATTATGGACTTTCTCGAGGCGATAATTACGGAACTATTATTAATGTACTTTTTTTTTCTCAAAAACGGTTCAACAACGTATATTATTTTATAGGAAGATCGGGCTTTCTAAAATGACGTTCTTCTTTCTGTACTCTCTCCTACTATTGGAGGTTAGATACTACTATAGCAAAACATACCCTCATCAGCTGTTTTCTATGGACATCATCATATGAAGTCCTTGTTGGTTACAATCTACACTAATACTATAAAGAGGTAAAGTTTGTGAATAATCAATGGTACTACTGAACCGACTTTAAAAGTTGGCCATTCACCTAAAAATATAGCGTCCAAACGGCAGACGCAATCATCTCAAGCTACTGAGAATTCAAAAGGCTGCAGCCTCCGGTCAAAGTTTGATTTGCCCCCATGGGGGCAAATCAAACTCAGGGTCAAACCAAAGAGCTGTCAAATATTCTTTCTGGTTGGCATAGACTTGAGAAAGTGCTGGCTCATCTCGAGTTGGAACTGCAGAATACATTTTGCTACCTAGTCTAATCATATTAGTCATGTTTTAAATACCCCCTTGCACAGCTTGCAGCAATAAAACCAGACTTTACAATAATTTCGCAAGCCAGGGGTATTTTCATCTAATATGATTGGACTAACCAGACAATCGTACAACATCAAACATAGTATACATAGAAGTCCTAAGCAATTACCCTCTCAATTCATAATTATGATAGGAGCGAACAAGAAATAAAATAAACATAAAATAAATCCTAAATAATCAGTACTAGAACCACACAAGATAATTTCATTACAAGTAAAAACGTTTGACGCTCAGGGTAGTGGAACAATTGTCATCTATTGTATAAGCTCGGTTAAATTATAATCTTTCAAGAGTTAACAAAAATCAATTTTGAGTTACGAATTTGTATCTTCGTCGAGAAGGTCCGTATGACATTTTGTCGTAGGAGCTCATAGCATTTTTTCTTGTATTTCGTATGCATTCGAGAGATTCTCATCTGATTCTGGGATACCCTGCATGAGTACCAGTCATGAAAAATGAGGAGTGTTTTTTGAGAAGAACTGTCATTTTCAGACGGATCCAAACGATCCAAACGGTCCGGATCTAGAAACGAAAATCGACGATTTGAAGCAAAACATTCGAAGAGCGGAGACTTCAAAAACTAAGGCGGAGGCTAGGATAGAATGTTTGAGACAAGGCGGAGTTAACGTAGATGAATGTATGCGGGAGGCAGAATCACTAAACGTCCAAGATATACAACGATCGGCGAGTTCCCTATCGGTAAGTTTTTTTATACGCGAATCGCTTAACGCGCATTTGCTTTATTATGCAAAGCATCCCTGCAGCTGCCGAGTAGAATGGACTGTTCAAAAACGTAGTGTCAGTTACGTGCGGCTGGCAGCTTCGCGCAGTGTGTGTCGAGCTCTCAAAGTCATAGAAATTCAGCCAAAAATTATGAAGAATTTTTAAGGTGCACACGCATAGTAGGGAAGCGTTTTTGTATCGCGCGTAAATTTCAATCAAGAATGCTAAACAATGAAGTCAGAAAGAGACAGCCGTATGTCAAACATAGTCAGGTGGCATCGCACAAATCGCTTCCCTTCTCAGTGCACGTGCACCTTAAGAGAGTCGCGTTGCTGCTTAGTAATGAATACGCCGTAACCATGTCGTTTGCAGCTTTATTTATACTAACTTGATCTTAGCAAAAATGAATTTTAAGGAGCAGACGAAGCAATACAGCGTGTTACCCAAACATAAGACTAAAGAAGGTGATCATTAAAATTGAATACCAGCCAAAGGAAGTCAAGGCTAGATATATTTTATTTATTTCTATGCATTCGGCGTCAGGAAAGTGTAATATAATTCACAGGTGAAACCAACTTAGCTGTAAGTGATGATCGATCTGGATTATACGAGTATGCTGTTTCGCCAAGTAGCCTAGGTTGTAGTCCAGACTATAAACTATCTCTGTACCAAATTTCAACCAGATCTGTTCAGCCATTTTGGCGTGATAAGGTGAAAAACTTCCACAGTTTTTCATTTATAATATTAGTGGATTTCTGTTTCAGTGCATACGCTGGCCTTTTTGTACTTGATTTTTTAAAAAGTCTGACAGTCTATGATGAAGAAATTATAACTTTGCATTCTTGGTGTTTATTTTGAAGATCAAGTAGCATCATATTTTCAATTTATAGGTACTAAAAAAGAATGTTATTGGATTAAAATAGTTAGTCTCGTAATTTTTTCTGTTCTAGGATCATCCCAGTTCAGATTCCTATTACGACAGTGACTTTGCTGAAGGTGATGGATCAACGGTTCCCGCTTCAACAGGTGCTGAACCTGCTTCCACAAGAAGGGACAGTAGTGATGATGAAATGGTCAGAAGAGAAAGCCAATCAGAGCACCAGTATGAGAGCGCTGACGTCGATGGTAAGGCTAGATATAGATCCACCTGAAAAATGATTGTTCCAAGACCACTAATATCCCTATTTGCTTTTATTCTTCTGTCTCAAAAGTCCCCATACCGTACTGACAATTCCAAAGATGGCGCCGCATGCGGTTGGGCAGACGGAAAGCTAATATACCAAAAATGTTACAATACCTTACTGGAAAGATTTTTCTTTCAAAATTAAATCGCTCTCCGTTTAACCTAAGTGGTTACTTTAACTTTGCAGCCGTTCTAGACCAGGAACGACAGCGAATTGAGAATTTGACAGCGGGATGGGAGGACCCTACTCAAGTGGACTGGGGCACAGAAGATTCAGCTGAAACCGAAACCGCAGAAAGTACTGGGTCTGCAGAAAAAAGAGCGTCAGTTCCTTTGCTGAAATGCACAGCATTGTATTCATACACTGTAAGTACCTCCAAATATTCATGTGCCCATTTCTTCTTCTCTTCCCTTTTTCCTGGAATTTTTATGACGCTTTGTTAAGCATTTACGAGGATCAAGAAATCGACATCATGATAAGAGATGAAGTAAGTGGAATATTGAATAATTTGTAACAGTTTAAATTCCTATGTTCTATTGTTATCTGGTACAAAACTTTGAATCATATCAATTACATTAGCAAACCTCTGCAGTCCGAAGGCTTAGATTTTTTTTTGAGAACTTATGATCAGATTAATTTTGTTCGAGAAGGGACTGAACTGGCTTCTGAAGTCCACGTGGATCCTAATTTTGAAGCCACCATACCACGCTATCGTGTTAGAAGCAAAAAAAGAATATTTTCACGACGGAGTTGGTGAACGAATCCAAGATCCAAAACAGAAAGACATTTCTTTTTCTTCACAATAGATCAAACAAAGAATGGCTTTTGCAAAGGTTATACAATGCTAAATGGTCATGCTAAAATTTTAAATTTATGTTGTTTTAGTTTCTGATGAATTTTGTTTTTCATGAACTGTAAATCTGCTGAAGTTAATACATTTTGTTTTTCAGCAATATCTTTTTTTGTAGTTTCCATGAATATAGGGGTTAGCACGTTATTATGTATTTTTTTCAATGGGAAATTCTTTATTCACATTGAACAAGTGTGGGATATGATCGAATAAATGTGGCATGTTTCCATCATCCTCTAGAAATGCCATCAACTTTTCGGAACCAAGTACAGCCAACTTGGAATGAGAGACATGGTCCGACCACTGGACGAATAAGACGGTATTGGTATGGCGACACAGAAAATGTTTTCATCTCAAAATTGAATCACTACGTTCTCTTGCTCGTGTCTAGCTCTATATAAAATGTCATTTAAATAAAATCCTTTTTACTGGGTGTTCTATGTTTTATCAATGAGTATAATACATATTTGTGGATTTTTATTTTTTAGGCTCAACATCCAGATGAACTAACGATAGTAGAAAATGAACAATTGGAAGTAGTAGGAGAAGGTGATGGAGACGGTTGGTTAAGGGCCAGAAACTATCGAGGAGAAGAAGGATTCGTCCCGCAGAACTACCTGGACATTGAAAGGGAACCACCTGTTACGTCTGCATCTGGAACTCCAGCTCTTGTCAATCAAATTTCATTTTCATCGGTACGTATCAAAGGATAACTTAATTCTGGGGTAGTTATATGAACGAAAAAGTATAACCTCATTGTTATAATAATATTGGCAGTTGCGTTTCAGCCATTTGCAGCGAAGTTCTGTTATTCATAATATGTAATGTTGGGTGATTTGCAATCTTTCACTTATATCGCTCTCCATAATTTTCACTTCCTACGCCAGCTGGCGAGAAAGTATTGTAATCGTGAAAAATTTCGAAAAACCATGACACTCATTTTCGTCGGTCTGATTATCGGTCTGTCCGTTAATCTAAACGCGTATAACCTGAGAAGTATCGCTCGGATTTTCACACAAGGTTACTATTGAGTAGCTGTGCGTGTTGCCCAAGCGTCATGATGCGTCACCTATCAATGTTTGGCTCTGATGAGATATAACATATGCTTCAGAGATGGCATTATTGGAGGTCTAAGGTGTAGGTTGTATACTATAGCTGGAATGAAAGGGCAGTGCACAGGTGCATAGTGATTTTTGTGTTAATAATCTGTGTTGATGATAATTCTATCGATTTCTTGTCTCAAGTACACTTACTTGAGATGTATGCAGAGCTAAAAAGCTAAAAAAGAGTGCGATAAGAGGTCATTTAAATTTTATAGAAATTTATTTTACGATGTCAAGTAGAAAATACAAATCAGCACCTAGATGTAAGGCAGTGCGAAAATGTTTAGTATGTGATGCGTCATTCCTAATTTTTCTGTGATGTTAATTACACACAACATGGGTGCGGTGCTGATTTCCCGGAATGCTTCTCAAAGTTTTTAAAAACGAAAAAATATGCGTAGGAAGTATAAATTCAATCTACTTGATACACCCCACACTGTACTTACATAGCAAACATTGATTTGATTACTGTGTGTAGGTTAAAGATCTTTAGTTTTTAGACCAAGTTTTGTAGTCAAGTACAAACAGTGGAAGGTTTTTGTGAATTGGGGATTGGAAATTGAAGACCGGGGAGTGGGGGTTACGACATGCTTAAGGAGCGTTTCTGACAATCGATGAAAGGAGAGATGGGATACGTCTCAAGGTTTTACGCCTAGCAAGGTAATTTTAGTACCAAGATACAGCAATAGGTCCATTTCATTTGGAAATAATGGCAGGCTTATCGTCTCCTCTAAATAAGCCAATTAGTACCAAAATGACAAAGAGTAACAGAAGAACAAGACTGGTACTGCTATTGCGGTGAATGTACACGGATCTTACCGCGATAAAGGACACACTTCGCCCTTGACAGTAGCGTACGCTGTGTTTTTCTCTTCCATTTTGGTAGCTGACTATAGGCCATATTAATTTTTTTATTTGAGTTTGTTCATAATTTATCTTCTACACTGATTTGTTTATTTAAGGTGGACTACACGGTGGATAATGACGACACACAGCGGCAGGCAGAAACGGCAACGCAGTCACCTGAACAGATCTCGGTTATATCGGCAGGAAAAGGAAAAGAAGAAGAAAAGAGAGAGGCTACAGAGTACTGTGTGGCGATGTATGACTATGTTGGGGAAGGTATATATGAAAAATAGAATCTAGCATGGGATCAAGCTACAACTTATTGAACAAGTCGAAATCGAAGAAATTTCATATTAGGAGAAGTTTGGAATACGTTCTTTCAAGATCGTTCAGATTCGGGCAGAATAACGTATTGCCATGATCAAAATTGGATAGTGAAGTCAGTGAGTTCTTCATTATTTGAAGACCTATATGTGAAGATCTTACACAGTTTTCACTTAGTCGACAATTTTATTGGACTGACATTAAATTAATGTGCAAGACATTTCCCCATGTCTAGGAAAATCTTACCCTCAATTGTAAAGTCTTTGTAACCGAAAATCGTTATAATTAACATCATTTATTGAAAAACATGATTATCTAAGGCAGATAAGTTAGAAATCAACTTTTGTCAGGATTTTGTATTGAGATCCTAATACAATAAAGAAATAAACAGTTTTTAAACTGAAACACAAAAATAAGTACTTCAAACTTCAAAATGTACTGCATCAACAAAAGCAAAAACATTACTACCTGATAATTCCTAACTAGCGATCTACGCTTTTGTAGAACTTTTTAGATATCGATTACAGTGTAAATCAAGGAGCTTTGTTGAAACAAGCAGAAAAACGTATTGCTCGGGTTATCTATCCTTTTTTTCTGCTCGAGTCAGATTATTTTTTCCTCGATTTTTTCTTGCGCAATTGCCCATACTTTTTTTCGATTTGTTATATACGAGGACTGTAAATAGAGTGATGAGATTAATATTTTTATTTTTTTTTAATTCAAATCTAGTTACAATTTTATATTGTCACCTTCAAAATCACTTCCTTTCAAAGCCACACAGCGCTGAGGATGGTTCTTCCACTCCTGACCATTATTTTTTGTATTAGTTCTATACCTTTCTCCGCATGATTCCCTCTCTTTTTTTATTAGAATTTCATGTTTGATAGTTGATGTGAATTACTAATAATGTTGGAGCTGAATCCAATCGTTGTTGATATTTATTGAGGGATGATGACATAATCTACTCCATTTTGTAGCTGATGATGAGCTGACCTTTGAAGAAGGACAAGTGATCCGCATCCTCAGCAGACAAGCGCACAGCGTGGACGATGGCTGGTGGAAAGGAGAATTATTGGATGATGGGATAGTTGGCAACTTCCCCTCGTTAGTGGTGGAAGAGAGCGACGAGTATGGGCAGATGCTAGAAGACCCAGAGTGGGATGAAGATGCTCCCCTATCAACGCCGCCAGTGCCACAGTGGTCCGGAGTGCCACCAGATGTGGTACCATCTTTACCGAGTGATGGAATGGACACGCTAGAGGTGAGGCTTCTGTGCTTATATCTATATCTCTAGCTTTTACTTCTCAGACGACTGGCGAATGTTGTAATTGCAAAATATTTGAGATATGTCTCTTAAATGTTAAATGAGTACTAGAACCATCGCAGCTCAAGTTGAAGTTTCTCATAGTAAAGTGTGGAAGACAACACGACAAGAACAGTGTTACTCATATCATTATCAACAGGTACAAGCGTTACAACCTGAAGATCATCCCAGAAGAGGTACATTTTGCCAGGGGTTTTGGAATAGTTCGGCAGAAATAAAAATTTTACGAAGTTAATTTTGTGTACACACGAGACCACATTTACACGAAATGGAGTGCACAATTTCCACAACAATCATGTTTGGGCAGTAGAAATTCCCCATGCTGTAAAAAGAACTTCATTAAATGTTTGGGCTGGCATGGTAAATGGCATGCGTATTGGACCCCACTTTTTTTCACCTCGACTGACCGGTCTTTAGATTTTCTTTGACCCAATCTGCCAGAATTATTAGAAGATGTCCCTCTAAATGTGAGAGAGAATATGTGATTCCTATATGATGGGGCTCCACCACATTTTAGACGAGAAGTTCATGATCATCTAAATACATAATGAGTTTCCGAATAGATGGATAGGGCGCAATGAACCCATTCCTTGGTCTGCTCGCGTTAATCGAACAAATGGGGAGAATTTTGAACGGTTTTTGTAAAACTTGATAATGTTTTTTTCTAAATAGTTTTTAATAATGTAAGCTAACTCTCTTATAATTATGCAACTTTTATATGGGTGATTTTTGATATATAAACTTCTTTTGGCGGGTTCTACAAGCTGTTAAAATAAACGACTTAATTTTGTTATAGTTTTACCCGTAACACATGTTCCCTACTATGCCCTTGACCCATGCGTATTACCATATTGCAACAGAAACACCGTTTGTGCTGCTTAAAGTCTAATTTGTTACTGCTACACTAATTTATAACAACACTTGCAACTAATTTATGACAAATTTATAACCATATGGTCTGGACTATATTTACTCATCGGTCGCTGCCCGTTGACTGTGTTGCTTCCGCCTTCTCTGCCTATATTTATTGCCCTGTCTACTAGTCAAGAAATACTCTAGCGTTTTCCAACCGAGTCGAGGACCAGCATGGAAGGCGTCCAGATGGCAATAGATTCAACTCGATGACGACGAACACTCTCGAACGTGAACTCGATCGCTCTCGATACACGGTCGCATAATTGGTCACCTAAGCGTCGATATCTTCCGAAGCGTGGCGAATCTTCTGGGCGATCTAAGAGGGTATCTCACCGATACCTAAAGTTCTAGCTACTGGGTCATCACAATATTTCTAATTTCGTTTCAATCTATAAAAATCGCTGTTCCAGGATGACATAGTTTCCTCCCCACCGCAACAACCTCCGCCTGCACCGCCACCAGAAGTCCTCGAGGAGCTGGCAGCCTTGGAAGCGATGAAAGCATTGGATGACTCTCCCATCACGAATGGCTTCACACATCAAGATGCATTTTCGGAAGAAACTGAAGCCTCGAAACCTCAGCAACCACCTGCTGTCCAACCTGCAGCGCAATCCACATCATCGACCTCGAAGACTGCGCAACAAAAGCAGCAGGGGTTTGAGATGAAGATGACTAGGGACCAGCATCACCAGTATGGCAGTCAATTTGGTGGTGGGCAGGCACCTCCACCATCTATACCAGGTAGGTTTGAATTTGAAAAGTTTCAGGCATAAGCGATGTTATACGGGTGCTAAAATCGTGACGTTAAAAGTATGGAGAACAAGGCGTATGTGATGTTATAATAATATTTACGAGGACTGTAAATTAAGTGATGAGACTGGCATCCTAGCGTTCGATCTGGAACACTGGAGGCACTGGTCTTGGAGGGGAGAAAGGGTAACATGTGATCCGCCTCCAGTACAATTTTGAACTCGCTCGAGTCATTTGTTTGTCCATAGCGTTTTTTTTTGTAAAACAGTTTTTTATATTGTGTTCTAAACTTGAGTGACATCAATTTCGAGCAACGGTGTGCTTCAGGTTTTACTACAGACTTGGGCAAAGCGCAACGGAAGCTCTTGCTAAACTTCAGCAGGCCAGGTTTAAGGCACTTTCAGAAGAGAAAGTCAACTGAAGGTGAACCACGAAGCGGAAGACCTTCATCTTCAAAAACCTATATATATATATATTATATATATATATATATATATATATATATTATATATATATATATATTATATATATATATATATATTATATATATATATATATTATATATATATACATTTTGGAGATTTGTTTTCTTTACATTTAGCTGATTATGATATATCGGAAATATGTAAGATGGGAAGGGAATAAAGTAGTTTTTTTTTATAATGAATAGTAAATAATTGATTATCGAACCAGTCTATTATCTATATTAAATCATTTTCAATTTCTTCTTCTTTTAATGTTGGCCAAGTTCTGGCTTTATCGATGATGGTGGTCTCGTCTGCAAATCATATTTTCTCACTTTTTGTTGATAGATTATATAAGTCGTTGATACATACATTAAAAAATATATTGTTCCTTGTGGAACTCCATACATTACTAGTTATATTTTCAATTTTAACATTATGTTTTCTGTTATGCAAATAATTTTGATATAATTTGAGTTCAATTAGTTATGATCAATTCTGCAATAAAAAATGTTTTATAAGTTACATAATAAAACACAGTGTTAATTGTTTATTTGTTAAATTATCCTTTCATGGTCCATCCACCTTATGTCTACATGACAGATGTATGAATCTACAAAAACGCTTTATAAGCATTCTGAGGTAAAAAAGTGTGAGACTCCAGAATTTCGCCATGGTCACTACTAAGCCCGATCGTCCAGCTAAACGACTCATCATGAAAGTGCGTGATGATGAAGGATGGCATCTTGTTGGTTGGTTAACAACCCTATTACTAATAATCTACGAATCTCGTCTCACCGCTTGAATAATCAATTAATCATTATTTTTTGTTTCACTGCTGCTTCTCAGTGATCGATGTACCCTGTGTCGAAGTCGTTGACGAGGTATGCTGCATCATGCTTATGCCATGTAATGCTTATCCATTTCATAAAACATGCAAGCAGGTCTATACGGGGTGTTTCAAATTCTACCCTTACCATAGGGATCTGTAAGAGATACGAAGTCGCTTTAATAGGCAAAGTTGTGTTATAGGCGGCACATTGGATTTTACCGCAGATGAATAGTGTTCTTAATTCTGCTTTCAAAAATGTATAATTTGTCATACATTGACATTGTCATTCCAGAAAGACAGAATTTTCAAGGTAGATGCATGCTAGATTTATCCCAAAATCACTTTTATTTTTCCTGACTATTTGAGACGGGTTTTAAAAATAAATTGCGTATTATCATTGTTACTTACACCTACAAGATATCGTAGTTAAATTTTCAATTCGACATTTATGGAAAGGCATCGTAAGCCACTGTTAACGAGATGTGTCTTTTAGTACGTTGAGAACCGCGCACACGCGCCGCACGGCGTTAGCAGTAGCTTCGATGATTTATCCCATTCAGGTACTTGACTACAGATATTTTTATAAAATCAGTATACAGGGTGTTTCAGAACTATGGGGTCAATCTTGTATGGGTTCAGTGTAACAGTAGAAAACATTTGAGTATAGGGACCCATATCTGGCGCGTGTGTGTTATCATTAAAAACGATAACAGAGATTGTTTGGGACAAAAAAAATCCCCATGCAATTTTTCCTAGAAAACATCAGCAACGTTGGTCTGTCAACGTATGGGCAGACATTGTTGATGATTATTTGATTGGGCCATACCTTCTACCGGAACGGTTAACAGGACCTATTTACCGACGTTTCTTGGAGGAAGTTCTTCCAGAACTTCTTGAAAATGTTCCATTGAACGTTCGACAGCAAATGTGGTTTCAGCATGATGGAGCGCCGGCTCACTTTCCTGTACAAGTACGTGAGTATTTGGCTCAGCGGTTTGGGCACCGTTGGATTGCCAGAGGTGGAGCAGTTTCTTGGCCTCCTAGGTCACCCGATTTAACGTCGCTAGATTTTTTCCTGTAGAGACATGTAAAGTCTTTGGTTTACAAAACTCCAGTACAAACAGAGCACAGAGCAAGACTTAATTGGACGAATTACAGCAGCATTTGAAATAATTCAAAACGAGTATCAAATTTTTAGTCAAGTCCGTCGAAATCATGTGCGACGTTTAAGTCGGTGTATTCAGGTTTTAGGAAGACATTTTGAACAATTGTTGTGATGATATCATGTACAAAAGGCAAAAATTAAATGCATTAAATCCTATTTAGAAAATTCATCGTCTTTCTAAATTTTAACGCGTCTTAGGCCCGTATCGTCAGTCGTTACTACAATTGTAGGGCGCCTTTATGGCCTCCTTGATTGTCATACTCCTTTCTCTCCTTCAAAAATTTCTAGACTGCACCTGTCCTGTGTCAGCCTGAGCGCTTTCCTATTGTGAAGATATGTTTTCTTATTAAATTGTATTAAATTTCAGGCTGATAAAACATGATATAAATCAGATGCATGCACAATTTGATGCAAATAGATATTTGTGACATAACCTCAAAATAGAGCGCTGATACGAAAAAGTAGAAAACTATGACAATGAAGGAGGCCATAAAGGCGCCCTACAATTGTAGGAACGACTGACGATACGGGTCTTAGGATCGTAGTGCCGCAGTGACACTATTTCTGTATATGGGTCCCTATATTCCAATGTTTTCTACTGTTACACTGAATAACCCCTAGAAGTGTGATCCCTTAGTTCTGAAACACCCTGTATAATACAAGATGAATGTATGTAGGATGCAGAGGAGACATCAGAAGAACCCCCAGCGCCTCCAACAGGAGGCGATGACTTTGGACTATGTGCAGCCTCAATTGTGATAACGGCCGCTACGCCTATGATCGAAGAGGCCGAAACCCCCTTCCCGCCTGTTGAAGAAACTGCTGTAAACCATACAGATGAGGCGAAGGTTAGTCTCACACCACCATTGACTTCAAATACTAATGTATGAAAAAATCACGAAAAACAGTCAACTTGAAAAAATACTGTTTCAAAAATTTCACAAAAAAACGCACCTATAACTATGATGACGTCACACCTGTTATCAATCGTCCCTAAAATCGATCAATTGTTATGGGACACCTGTGCTAGGTGTCAGATAGCGCTGCCTTAAAGTTTTCACATCCATACCATGATCAAAAAGTACCGAGAATTTTTAATTTTAGCAAACTGCACATGACATGACGGTGATTTTAGTTTTTTTAGGATGGTACGTGTCAATATTTTAGCGCCAGTGCCTTATTAGTATCTGTCTGGCGTCTGTTCACGTCAGTCAACTTTTAGACTTTTGTCGCATTTTGATATGGATCGTTTTGTTGGGCAAAGAGTTTATCTGAAATTTTGTGTTGCTGATGCATTAACAATGTTGCAAAAAGCCTTTGGGAAGTCTGAAATGTTGAAAACTCAGGCATACAAATGGTATAAAGACTTTAAAACTAGTCATATAGTGGTAAGGAATTTGCCTAGCTCCGCCACCCATCCACGTTAAACACTGACGAGAACATCAAAAAAATGAAGGAAGTGGTGCTCGGAAATACCAGCTTAAAAGAGATTGCTACTGTCCGTTTTGAAACGTTTGATCGATGCCGTACGTCGTAAACGACCGGAATTGTGGGCCGATAACTTGTGGATTTTGCAGGACGATAACGTGCCGTCTTATCGGGTCAGAATTCTGCTTGATTATTTGACCAAACATCAAGTAAATACCATTAAACAAGCGTATTCACCTGATATGGCTCTGTGCGACTTTTTTCTCTTCCCAAAGCTCAAATTACTACTTCGGGGAAAGAGATTTCAGTCCATAGATGACATCAATCAGAATGCGACGAGAGAGCTAAAGACCATTCCTTTGGCGGCTTACCAGCGGTGCACGGACGAGTAGATAAAACGCTGGCACATGTCTGTTGCTTCAAATGGATGTTATTTTGAAGGCGATAAAATAAATTTGACCGAAAATTAAACCGTTTTCGTTTTATTCTTAAATTCCGGGTACTATGTGATCATAGGGTATACAGGGTTTGTCCGGAAAGAAATAGGATTCATTTTCTTCCGCCATGACTATAGTTCGGAGCGTGCGCGCACCGACTGGATTCGGTAGAGGGCGTTCCTAGCTAACGAATGAGCGGCTGGTCAGTTGTCTCTGAGCACTTGGAGTCAGAACAGGCATTTTCGCGCGACGTGTTTCTGTGAGTGGTGCAAGCCGAAGATGCAGCGTTCGTTAGAGCAGAGGTACGCGATTAACTTCTGTGTGAAACTCTGTAAATCTGCGACAGAGACGTTTGATATACCCAGGTATTGCTTTAGCAAGAACTGGTATGTTTCGGTGGTACCAGGCCGGGAAGAGGTCGCTGATGAAGACCGTGCTGGATGACCTTCGACTTCGACAAACACCGATAATGTGACTCGTGTGCGCAAAGTTTTGAACTCAGACCGTCGACTAAGTATTCGTTTAATTGCCCAGATGTTAAATTTACCAAAATCTGTAGTTCATGACATTGTGACACAGCATTTGAACATGCGCAAGGTGTGCGCGAAGATGGTCCCACATGTGTGAAAGTGACCCCCAATTTTTGAATAACGTAATCACAGGTGACGAGTCGTGGATCTTTGAGTATGATCCCGAGACAAAGAGGCAATCTTCCGAGTAGCACACGACGGCGTCTCCTCGCCCAAAAAAGGGAAGAATGAGCAAATCCAAAGTGAAAACGATGCTCATTGTCTTTTTTGACATCAAAGGCATCATCCACCATGAATTTGTTCCTCCTGGACAAACCTTCAGCGCCAAGTTTTACGTGGAAGTGCTCAAGAGACTCAAACGAAGGGTCAGTCGGGTCCGTCAAGACATTGCAGCCGACTGGAAGTTGCACCACACCGCCTTTCTTGTGAACAGCTATCTGACCAAGGCCGGCATCCCAACGCTTCCGCAGCCGCCCTACAGCCCAGATGTGCCCCCCCCCGGACTTTTTTGTTTCCTCGCCTGAAAAGGCCGATGAAAGGCAAGCATTTTGAGACGACAGAGGGGATCCAAGCAGCATGCACCGCGGCGCTTAAGCCTATTCCGGAGAATGCCTTCCGTGACGCCTGCAATGCTTGGAAATCGCGCTGGCAGCGCTGCATTGGCGCAGAAGGAGCCTATTTTGGAAGTTTTTAAGGAATTGTAACGATTGGCTCAATAAATTTTTTTAAATCGTCTCAGTCCTATTACATTCCGGACAAACCCTGTATAGTCAAGGCATCGTACTATGATGGAATATTCCAAGACGGAGTATCTCTGTTGAATTGTTCCAGAAGGTAGTTAGAAATGATATTAATATAAACTTAATTAACTGACCATAAACGTCCGTCCGACCAAAGACAGCTAGTGTCCAAGCGAAACTAGTATTTCAGGCGAAACCGAAAACGAAATTGCAATCCAATTTTAACTTCGGCGGAAACAGAAACTTCCATCTGAGCATGAGTATGATATGGGAGGTTGGGAGGTAACATAGTAGTGTATCTGCAAGAAAAAACAAACTCCGCCTTTATAAATTAATATTATCTAGTAATAATAATAGCAGTTTATTATTAAAAGAAACAACCTCTTTATCAAACTACACTGCCACGCAAAATGTTCCGAATAAACAAAATTTTTTCAAATTAAATTTTAAATAACTTTTTAACCTCTGCAGTAATTTCATTAATTTTTTCGTCAAGTTGTAGATAATTTTATTGTCATCATTATCAACTGTCGACCTTGCAGAAAAATTAAAATGATTGTTGTTATACAGGGTGTACCTAAAAGGTGCATTTTGCCCTACATTTTTGACCACCCTGTGGAAACAGAATACTAAATAATGTGTCTTCGTATGAAAATTTTAAGCCTCAGCTTTTCTCAGCAGTTTTTCTTTTGATTCATGCCAATATCTCATTTATTGAAGAATATCTGCTGTTTTGAAGAAAATCAAGAAATTGTTTCAAGCAGGCTTTGCCGGTGCCACGCCTGTTTTTGGTTAATTAATAAAACATAATGATAAATACTATCTAACGGTTGGTACAAGCAAAACAGTTCTCTAGTGGCGTGCAAATTTAGGCACTAGCTCAATAAAGCGGAGAGTAGGGGCGGGTTAAGAGGCCAGTGACTTAGGACGGATTAAGCCACAACTCCCCGAGATGTTAGTCGGAACTCGTTTTGCTTGACCACCACACAAAAGGAGAATCTAACAGAGATTTTTAGCAACTGGACACTAAGAAAAATGTGGAATATATCGAAATAAAACAGAGCGAAGCCCCATCTACCACTAGAACTGCGAATAGTGAATAGCAGCTTCCGGTTGGGACTGTATAGATCTCAGTCCGCAATTGGAGGTCCAGTCACCACGTGACCGCTAGATGGTAACGATTTTAGCTGTGTAGATATGGTCTACTTGCCATTGAACAAACTAAACATGCTCCATCCGACCAAAGACAGCCAACCATGGACTGCTGTTTTGTGCTTTTTAGCTACTCATCAGCATGGTCTACGCTTGGACTCTCGGGCAACAAACGAAAGCATACCAACTATACACTATCAAAAGTGTGAGGTCTATCGAAAAAAGACAGCGTATACTACAGTATACTCGTAGATCTCAGTCCGCAAATGGAGGCCTAATCACCATGAGACCGCTAGATGTCAATTGAACGTCCAATTGCAAACTGAGATCGATAGTCAAAACCAGTAGCTGCTATTGACTGTTCACAGTGGTCCATCATAGTGGTAGATGGTGCTTTGCGCTGTGTTATTTTGGTAAAGTTAATTGTTTCTTATTACCATTATTTGATAGCCCATGACGAACTCATTCAATTTTCTCTCTCCAGTCTGCGCAGACTTCATCATCTGTACCAGCTGCATCGTCGACCACGGAATCCGATATCGTAGACAAACCTAATGCATTGGTGGAATCAAAGAGCCAGTCTGAAGAAGTAGAAGAAATGGCCGCGAGTACAACTGACGACCATCAAAACTTTGCTGTGAGCAGCAGCACTGGTAGCGATGGGGAGACGACGGGTCCTAGTACTGCCGAAAATTCGGTTAGCCAAGCACCACCGGCTGAATGTGATTCAGCACCAAAACAGGTAAGTTAACGGGGACTGTAGCAGAAATCATCGAAATTGACGAAGCAAAAACTTTTTTCCTAATCACGTTAGCTGGATGCCCCTTATCATACATGAAAAGGTTAAAGGTTGTCTACGGAAACCGTGTGCAAATTTGTTTAAGCACTTTTCTTAAGCAAAGTACCAAAAAAATGTTTCGCTTTGGTAATTTTTTTGTTTTTGGATCACTCTAAACAAAAAAGATCTGGCGCATGGGTGCCCGCAAGAGAATGGATGGAAAACCATAAGAATGGCTATTTTTCAATACTTTTTAAACACCGAAACAGCCGCGCAGGCAGAAGCCTAAGTGCCAGGGCACCGAGGAACCCAAAGAAACTTTGTTAATCCAATTTTTGAACCGCCTAAGGTTGGCGGAACTGGAAAAAGCTTCTTATAGATCTTTCCACAATCTCGATACCCTAGGGGCAAAGGACACAATTAAAAATTATCATTTTCGTGTAGCAAATTTGAGTTCAAACCTTCCCCTACAACACTCCGAGGAATATCTTGGGCTTAGTTTATTTTAAACCTTGGCACCTTTATTATGTTTAATCTTTATTAATGATTTGATGCTTGAGATCGAATGTCATCATTTATTTTTCGCTGATTTAAAAATTCATTTTCTTCATATTCTCCTCCGTCACGCAGCGCCGTCTATGAAAAAAGAATATTTTTGTATTCCGCGAATACGTAAACATAACACAGGTTTTTTGAAGGCATCTTTTCGTAGAAAATATAATCTCCTTTGCAACCCCCCTGGAAACTTATTTCCCATTCTTGTTTATAAGTCTGTAAATATTTTTTTGTTTTACCCTGAAATTGAAGCCTCATCACATGGCATTTTAATTTAATATACTAAGTGACATATAAATCCGAACACCCAGTTTAAATGGTTTTATTTCAATAAAAGTTGGTGAATGTATTTATCTTACTGTAAATAACAAGTGAAAAAACTTTCAGCCTTATCAGTTGGACATTCCGGTTTTTATACTGCTTTTTTTTTAATTCACTAACGCTCTAAAAATGAATATTTCAGCCGCAGTAAAGAATCAACGTAGGCGGATTTTGGTTCTTGACATCCTTTACGATCAGTTACGATGCCTAGAGTACGGAGACCTGTACGATTTCGTCAACTTAGTGAGTTTGATAGGGGCCGTATAGTGGGACTTCGGGAAGCTGGACTTTCTTTTCGGGCAATTGCAGTTAGAGTGCAAAGAAGTGTAGACACTGTGGTTAGGTGTTGTCAGGCATGGCTTCGAGAAGGCCGTACGCAAAGAGCAAGGGGCACTGGACGCCGCCGTAGAACAACAGACCGTGAAGATCGCCGCCTAAGATTATTGGCCTTAAGGAACCGTTTCTCCACTACCAGGTCCATTGCAAATGAATGGTTTGCAGAACACGGAAGCCCTATTGGCATGCGAAGTGTTTACTGACGAATGAGAAGTTTTGGCTTGTTTTCATACCGGCCACACTGGGTCCTCCCTTTAACTCGAGAACACCGACGTAATCGCCTTGAGTGGTGCAGACAACGGTCACTCTTGATCAGGAATGGAACAGTATTGTCTTTAGTGACGAGTCTCGATTTTGTTTAGGCATGCACGATGGTCGTGCCAGGGTTAGAATGCGACGTGGTGAAAGGAGGAATCCACAGTTTTTTGTTGAAGGACATGTTCATCACACTGTTGGAGTTATGGTTTGGGGTGCTATAGCTTATGGTTCCAGGACACCTTTAATCTTCATCAGAGGTAACATGAACGCGCAGCGTTATATCCACGAAGTTCTAGAACACCATCTTTCACCCTATCTTGACACCCTGGCAGATCCAACTTTCCAACAAGATAATGCCCGACCACATGTTGCAAGAGTCACAATAGACTTCTTTCAACATAATGATGTTACATTGTTACCATGGCCACCAAGATCTCCCGACTTATCCCCAATTGAGCACGTGTGGGATATGATGGGTAGGAGATTGCTCAATTTGCAACGTCCTCCTCAGACTCTAGAAGCACTTCGAGAGGAGTTGGTGGTTGCCTGGAATGAGATACCACAGAAGGACATTAACTACCTGATCAGAAGCATGCCTAGGCGCGTTGGAGAATGCGTAGCACATCAGGGTGCATCCGCACATTATTAAAGGTCAAAGGGCTTTAAAGCAGTGCAATCATTTTGAAATTTTTATCATTTACTTATTATGCTTCATTAAGTACCTATACAAAATTTTATTAAAATAAAGCATTTAAACTGGGTGTTCGGATTTATATGTCACTTAGTATATATAGTGTTTAACTAAAAACAGGCGAGCCTTGGATTCCTTATTGCTTATCCGGTGATGCGGTAGTGACGGTGACCTACCAGTCTGCACCTGTTGTACGCACAAAAAAACAACACAAAAAAGCAGAGTAAGATATATGCGTTCATAATTATAGGCAACCCAAGTCCACGTCCTTCCTCAACTCCTTAAGTGCACATAGACTTCATTTGAAAATCCCACCACGGATTTATAGAAAACCACTGATTAAAAGAAAAACCGCCGAGACACGTCAAAATATAAAACTACTTCCCCCTTTTACCCTCGGCTCCTCAGGGTCATCCCCAAAATTTTAAACGACAAGAGGTATCAAGTAAGTAAGTTTAATTTTTTAAAATCAGTGGATTCGTTTTCGAGAAAATTAGAAAAATCACGAAAATATCACTTTCTATTTCTATAAGTGTTCAAAGTGTTGCCCTTTAGGGTTTGCCAAATCTACAACTCGTTTATAATTTAAAACGGAAACTACCAACATAAATAGCAATCCTCCGATTAGACGTGGCAACAACTAAATAACAACCCGAGTTTTTTCCGCATTCTTTTCAACACAGAATATCCTGAGCCAACTGTTATACCTGTTTAGTTATTTGTTTCTAGGGGAAAGAAAGAATTTAATTTGCTGTCAGTTACCTTTGTGACAATCTTGGGATAGTGAAAATTAATTTAAGTATTCACATTTTACTTAAAAATGGTTTACACACTAGCCAAAAGAGTGGAATAGATTCTAATGTATGGTGCCCAAAATTAATGTACTTGGGTCATTTTGGAATAAATCCTAATACTTCATTACGCAAAATTGTTGGTGCGACTGGTATTTATTAGGCTCTGTACACACAGTTACTAAACTCCTTTTAGAATTAACCGAAGATGATTTCAATAGGCGAGTTGAGCTTTTTTAACAAATGACTCCAGCGATTAATGATAATACCATTCATGTAAAGAATATCTTCTTCAGTGATGAATGCACATTTTATGTAAATGGATTTGTTAATAGCATAACAGCAGGTATTGGAGCAATGAAAATCCTCATACTTTTCTAGACTACCCACTACCCCCAAAAAATTAATGTATGGGCAGGCATTTTAGGAAACAAAGTGATTTGGCCATTGTTTATTAATGGAAATTTGAATGGAGACATTTATTTAGATATGCTGAAAAATACCATCAATCCGCTTATCAGTGAAAAACCATTACAAACCAAATCGAAGAGGATGAAAACCCAATACTTGATGAGGCTAACATAATTTCCAGCAAGACGGCGCTCCTCACTATGTTCTTCCGTCTCGGCAATGGCTAGACGACAAGTTTCTAGATAAATGGATGGAGCGCAGAGCGCCTATAGATTGGCCTGCTAGATCTCTTGATTTGACGCCATTAGACTTTTTTGTGGGGCCATTTGAAATCTATTGTTTACTCCCCAACCTGAAAGTTTGGATGAACTTCGATGATATCCCACAACATGTTTTTAAAAGGTGAATGTTAAACTAGTGGCGCCATACAAAAATTCTTAAGTGAACTTTTCCAAATGATGCCTAATTTAAGATCATGTATGATATTTTTTTCAAGGAATAATTGGCATAATATGCCGGTATGCGGTAGACCGTAACAATCTAATGCATATTTTCTATATTTTTTTTCTTAGGTTGTAGGAGGCAGAGCCAGCATTCCAGACGAACTTGAACCCCACCAATTAGCCAGGTTGCAGGATCTTAAAGAATCTAACGCATAGAGCGACGGCAAAGAAAATAGAAAATAGGTTATGTAGGCTTCACAGTAATAAAAAATGCGAATGCGGGATACGGCTAGATATTAAAAAAATACATGCATGAAAGAAGTATACAATTGGTGAATCGCGCGTATTAACGTACCTTATCATTTGTTATTCGTTAGATGACGTTTCCACGTTTTAGGGTTTACCGAATAGTTTTTGTTGATGAGGAAGTATTGTTCGCAACTTGGTGGGTCAGACTACGACGACAATCTTGAACCACCGTCTGATAGATAGTGAAATAAATACAAACATACATAGTAATGTGACCAGTTCTGTTCGAGAAGCTGACCATTTTGTATATTTGGGCTTAGAATAGATAACGGATATTTCACCACTACAAATTGGCTAGGCTAGTTATAAATAAAACAATGTATAACTTGAAGTGTGATCCGCCAAGATGTTTAGTTTTTCAAAAAAAGATAATTCTTCTAGTAGTGAATGAAGACAAAAACAATACCCTTCCACATTTTGAGGTTTGTGTTGATAAAATTGTACATGTTTTAGATATTATACCAGAAAAAACTAATAGACGTCTATAAAGCTGTGTTCCTAGAAGTTCTACCACTTTCTTTGCGCAACAGCTTCTCCCGATTTTTGTGTATGACAAGGCGATGGAAAGTGCTACGCAGACACAATTAATTGTAACTGAAAATTTGAAATGTCAATAATAAAATATTCCGTCACCTTCACAGCGTTGGTGGTTTTTTAAATAACTAGTGAATATGAAAGTTTCTAGATTTAATCTAGGAGTCTTATTAAACTATCAAATGCTTAAAGAAAAACAACACACGTACTTATCTGTTTATTTTTTAAAGAAATGTAAAGAAACGATATGGTCTTGGGCATTTTTAAAATTGTTGGGAAAGTGAAATCACCAAGATCGGAGAAACTTTCTCAAAGCGATTTGTATGCAATGATAGGCCTATTTTTGGCTACTAAGCAATGTAGTAGTATTCAGAACGTAAGCAGTATATGCAGGATTTATGTACAGAGAATCCAGGCTACTTGCTTCGACAAATAAGTCAAAAAATGTTTGGCGTTAAGATCCTCATCTCCATAGTATTGTCGAATTTTTGCTTTTAGATATTTATATCCAGTTCGTTCAAAATTACGTTATTATGTTAAGCAGTGAGGTACTAGAAAAAGGTGTGTACTGTTGGCTCCATATAGATTTCGTAGCAAATATAGACTGAGGGCAATAACAATCGATATATCGGAGATATAGATAGTTGTATATTCGTTGCTCTTGTATTCCGTGGTTTGATGTTATGATTTTACCGAGATTTTTTTTTCTTTGATATACCAATACTCAGACATTGCCTCTCTGTGTAGGTGACCTACATTATACAGAGTGTTACGAACATGACTAAATTTCAAGTGATTCAAGACACAAGCTGTCAACTTTTTTTGCGAAATATCAATATGTATTTTGTAATAATATATATAATTCTTCAGGTGGAAATATAATTGCATTTATAACAATATGTTTTTCTTCATTAATTTTTGTTAACTTTTTTTTAATTCTGAAGCAGCAGCAGAAGCCTAAACCGGGACACCGCGGCTGCTATGACGATCCTAAAGAAATATTGGTAATCCGATTTTTGAATTGCCTAAGGTTAGTAGAACTGGGAAAAATTTCTTGCAGATTGTTCCACAATCTCGACACCCTCGGGACAAAGGAGTGGTCGTATCGGTCAGTTGTGGATATACGAAGTTCAACACGGTTAGGATGGGAGGTCAAAGTCAGGCGAGTCGCTCTGGGAGGCACATCGCGCGGCGGCATCATGGAAGAGAGCTCTGAAGAGCAAAACCCGTTGGTGTAGCGGTTGAAGGGAGCTACTTTGCCGACAGCCCGCAGGTGCGAAAGGGTTCCGAAACTTGTCTGTTAGAGAAGAGTCGTCGATCGGTCGGACAGCCCTCCTTTGGACAGCATCGAGCATAAATAATATAGTACGGGCGGCAGCACCCCAAGCGTTTGTGCAATACTCGAAGCTAGGCCTGATCTGGGCCTAGTATACGGAGGGAAGTACTTCTTAGCCCTAAACAAATAGAGGAACAGTGTCGGATCCAAGACCGATCACTGGGGAACACCTGCGTTGACGTTGTGAGATGAAAAGGAGAACCCGTCAATTACGACGGATATCTTGCGGCCAGAGATAAAGTCAGCCACCCATCTGCAAAGCTTTTCTGTGAGGCTACGATGGAAATTTGCATAAAAGGGCATCGTGCCACAGCTGATCGAACGCTTCCATAAAGCAAGAGCAATGACATGAGCCTCACCATAAGACTAGATGAGTTTACTCCACAATTGCGTGACGTAAGCTAGGCGGTCTCCTGTGGATCGTTGGTGCCGGAAACCATACTGCCTGTCGCTAATCAAGCCGTGACGTTTGAGGTAATCCAGAACTCGCGATTTATGCACCTCTCCATCAGCTTACTTATAACATAAAGCAGAGCTAGAAGCTATAGTTGTAAGTGTCGGTCTTAGATCCTTTTTTTGGGATGAGCTGGACATGAGCTAATTTCCAGTTTTCTGGGAAGGTACCGGATTCATAAGATATCTGGAAAAGACGCGAAAGAACTGGAGGAAGCTCCGCTGCACACCTCTTCAGTACAATGGCAGGAACCAGGTCTGGACCAGAATCTTTGTTGATTTCGAGCGACAAGAGCACTCGTCTTACGGTCTTATGCCTGACTGTTACTTCCCGCATAGTATAGGGAACCCTCTGAATCTGGGCACTTGGGCGTAGGGGCGAACGTCCATGGTGGACTTGGCAGCAAAGATCTTGGCAAGCACTTCCGCCTTGGCCTTTGAGTCTGTTACAATCGTTCCATTTTGGCACGTAAGTGGTGGAAGGCTACTGTCCGAGAAGACTATATTACCATGCTTACCAATACCGATACTGGACAAATCATCTGAAGGATTATTATCATTATTTACAAAAAACGAATTTTTGTATAAAATTTGCCACCCCGCATATTAAAAAGGAAGCATTATTGGACTTATGTTTATATAAAATACCTTTTACAATTACTTGAGGAATCATCCCTTGAGGTTTGGCCATTATTGACACCCTGCCTATTTTACATGACCGCATATAGCATGTATATCAAAATGACGAATGCTCATAGATATAAGCTTACTCCATCTACATCGTTCTGTGTATATAATAACCAAAACATCGTTTGTCTGTCATCTTGTACAAGAAACGGCAAAAACATGTCTATCAGAGTGTTTTTTAGCGCGACATGTATTCTGTATTTACCCCATCTTCTTTCAGCGGTGCCTTCTTATATTGTATAATCTCCAAACTTCACCTCACCTGTAGATATTGTGTAATACTTTCAGATTTATTTCAAGATGACCTTAAGGCTACGTATACTGTGAATAAGAACACTGACAATTAATTAAGGTATGATTATAGTCAAAACGGAAGAAAATAGCATAAGTCATGATACGTCACTGTTTGTGCAGTGTCACAGAGGATCTGAATCACGCTACTTTGTTCCTATTTAGTACTTGACTATTGTTTGTTATTACTTTGTTATTTAACATATACGTTATTTTCATACCCGAGGTAACAAAAGTAACGGGACGGGTCTGTACTTTGAAAAAAGGCCAAAGTCAGGTCTATACTATTTTTCTAATTATTTGTTTAATGATCACTTTGTGTTTGACATTAAAGTTATCTCGAGATCAATTTTAGTTTTTTTGATGGAATGCCCCCTTTTTGATATTGGCAGTCGAAAGGGAAGCTCTATTTCCTAATATACATCAAAATCTAAGATCAAAGACAACTCTAAAGCTCAAATGAAGGTCAAATGTGTGTTGCTAAAGTTCCTAGAAGTTTAGCAGGATTACTGATAAAAAAATATGTTTTAATAGTTTTTAACAAAGACGATTTAACCTTGAACCCCGCCTTCAAAGTCAACTTTTTTTAAATGAGGACCCCAATATTTGACATCGTCAATGAAAAAATTTAAGTTCTACTACTTTCAGATGTGCGATTATGACATTTAAAATCGACTTATAAGCTCTGATGTTAAACTATTTATAAACAAGAGTTCCACAACGTTGATCCGCAACGCTCACACTAGACTTGACGAAATTTTAACTTTCTGCGGTTGCCATTCCCGATTCAACCAATGAAAGGGAGCCTGTTAATCACGTGTTTATTGCGACAGATCAGCTGGTTTTTCCACTTTTCGCTCTGTTTGACATGACATATGTTTTGTTTCGGTCGGCGTGGCTTTCTCTGAGATTCTTTGCTATATTTTATTTAGTTTATTTAAATAATAATATGTATTTTCAGGAGATGTGTGTTACAAGTTTTGTATTCAAATATGTGAATAAGAATACAATTTTGGGTTACGAAAATGATACGCCGGCAGTACGGCATCGTTTGAGTTTGTAAATCCGCCTTGAGGCTTGAGGACAATTCCATAGTTAATATTTAGATCCTTGTTATATGTTACTAATCGGCTGACCTTGATATTTTTCATCAATGTCCCTGCTAAACCTCTCGGAATTTTCCCTAGGCTCATACATTTAAGCTTCATTTGACCTTGATCTCAATACATATTCGGACGTGGAATTTTCTGTTATTCCGATTTTCGGAGTCAAAAAAGGGTTTTTTTATTAAAAAAATAAAAGTTCACCTCCTAATAACCTTGAATATGAGACTCAAAGCCAAAACCAAGGTCACAATTGAGCTCATTGTTCAAAGTAAAAAATACCTTACCTATGAAAAGAGAGCAGCTCTTTACTTTTGTTACACCCGGTATATACTGCAGTAACCTGACTGGGTATAATTAGAAATGACTATAGGTACCAACATTAGTTTTCAAGGTGGCTTCAATGTAAACAATATTAGGCATGAGGTGCTGGGCTACACTGGCCAGACCAGTATCCAGTGCCACTTAGGAGGGCGATGTCGATATTTAGGAAAATCTATTACATCATCACTGATTGACATATTCCACCACATGGTGAATACATTAATCAACGATTGCACGTAAAGTCTATCCCAAATGGTGCGCATATCTGAAGACAATAGTTGACTTGTTTGCGTTGAGCTGATCCTGACCTGTCATTTTTATTACTGCGGGCGTTCTATTACGGCGAACCAGTGCACGTCGAAAATGAATCTGATATAGTCATTCATGACCTGTACTTCCAACTACCTTAAGTATAATTTGTTATCCATTATTATTTCGTTTCGTCAGTAGTTTCGTCCATAGAAGCGTAGCCTTGTTTGTTATAATACGTGGGTTACTAGACATCCATTCTATGCAACGTCAAGTATATACTTATAAATAAATAATTTGTGTAGCTGACAGTGTGTGTTTTATTTTACTTCCAAGCCACCCAACAGAGTAGAAGCATTTTTTGAAATAGCAGTTTGTAAAAGCGTCCAGTGGGAAAGTTCACTTTTTGATTTAAGAAAAAAATACAATCTTCATGAAAAGAAAATATTTATTACTATCAACGTATTCGTAAATTTGGCAGGTTTTATTTCTTGAATATCACTCCGTCCAAATGTTTGCCATCTCTTCGGACAAACTCCTCTAATCGCGCGCGCAAATTCTGAAACACTCTCTTGCAGAGTTTTATTTTATTTTATTGTATTCATATATTTCTCAACAGATACAAGATCCAATTACAGAGAAACACTATACAAGTGTTGAAAAGCAAATAGACACACATACAAAAAATAGTATCATGGATTGATGATACTAAAAAAACCCTATGTGTGTATCAGAAATCCAACACAAAGCCCCATCAGTGAAGTAGTAACACATGCAAATTAATATATTTCTGAACGTTAATTCTACCCCTAAGATAGATAAAGAATAAGATTAAAAGGTACTGGAAAGCTGAAAATAGTTTACGTCACTGAACGGTTTTTAAATCTGACAATATTTTTCTTTCATATATATGTTCGCTCATATCAAAGGCAACCTCGTTAAAGCATTTCAACATTATGTATGAAGGGGATGCTAGCACAGTATTTGTTGAAGCTTTTGGAAGATAAAACATGCTATAGTTCCTACCATTAAACCTAGGAACAGTAAAGTTTAAGTTCAACAAAATTTCACGACAATCAATCTGATTGCTTAGCAACTTATGCACAAAGCAGCAGCTCAACAAAAATCTTCTCTGTTCAAGACTGACCATGCCAAAGTGACCTAAAAGGTCCTTCTTTGGATAGTTGAATGAAGGATATGCACCAGATGCTTTTAAATACAGATATTTCAAAAATTTAGTTTGGATCTTCTCCACTTTAGATATAAAGGAGACCAGATGATACAACCATATTCAAGTAAGCTTCTAACTAAAGGGAAATACAGTATTTTTAATGATTCTATGTTAGTAAAATATCTGCAATTTCTCATAATGAATCCAAGCATACGTGAAGCTGATTTGTCTATTTGATTCAAGTGTGCTGAAAATGACAGATCCGCAGTAATAGTAATGCCTAGGTCTTTTGCTTCCTGTACTCTGTCAAGTTTGTGATTGTCCAGCATATAATCATATAGTATGATAGAGTCTTTTCTGGTAATGGACATTAAAGTAAATTTTTAAGTCATCCGCAAACATTTGGTTTTCTACTGTTATTATATGGTTGATATCATTAACAAAAATTAAAAATAGTAGGGGGCCCAAGTTAGTACCTTGTGGTACTCCCGTAATTGGTGTGTATGCCTCCGATTTGAAGCCGTTATACTGCACAGATTGAACGCGTTCAGATAAATAGAAACGGAAAAACATCAACAAGCCGTCAGAAAACCCAAATCTATACATTTTTTTAAGCAAAATCGAATGGTTTATTCGGTCAAATGCCTTTGAGAAATCCGTGAATATAACGTCGATCTGTTGTTGTTGATCTACAGCAAGCGAGAGCATAAGTTACTTATTGTCGATCTTTTGTTCCTAAATCCATGTTGTTTTTCCGATAACATGTTACTTATACTACTCATAAAGCAGCATCACAAAAAGTTTAGAAAAATCACACACATGAGCGATATAGATTCTTTACATCATTCACTTTTCCGCTCTTAAAAATAGGACGTATCTTGGAGGCCTTCCAGCAGTCCGGAAGACACCATCTTTAAGCGATTTGTTGAAAATTTGACATAGAGGCTTAACAAAAGCTCTAATGCAGTCTTTTACAATGTATGTCAGGATTCTTAGAAATATTATCTTGAACATTAACTATCTAATTTTGGCATGCATGGCTTAATTCAACTTTATCTTAGATCTAAGAAGTTTAAAGTCGTTATATTGCTCCAAATTCCCAATTTCCTTAAACTTTTTGTAATAATGGTGCTTTTTTGATATTCCTGATTATATCTCTCGTATACCATCTTGGGTAACGAATTGTTTAAATTTAGGTACATGCTTTTCAATAACATCGAAAATACTTTCATAAAAATGACTACACAAGGTATTAACATCCGCTTCTCGCTCACACCAATTCCAGTCAATATTTAAGAAGTCTAAATAGCGGTTGCAAAGATTAGCTTTACTGAAATTGTACTTCACCGGGGAGATGTTTATTTCTCGTCGAAAGTTGTCATTAAGCTCCTCCAGCGTTCGTGGATTATTGGAATACACTTTTGACTTTAGATAACTCCACAAAAAATAATCGCATGGCGTGAGGTTGGGTGACCTAGGAGGCCAGTGAATGTCTCCAAACTTTTGAGGAAAAAGTGCTTTCACCGTGTCCATCGATGCTCTGGAAGTATGGGCAGTGGCCCCATCCTGTTGAAACCATGTGTTTCTGTTCAATCGACATTCTGTTGTTACAATGGGAGCAAAAAAGTGTCAATCATGTCCTTATACTATTCGTCATTATTGGTCAGAGCGGTCCGTTGGACCTTTGCTCTTAGTTAAAAGTCTCGTCGGTCTGTTAGTCTGTCAGGTCTGGCTACCCATATACCATGTTTAAGGGGAAAAGGGAAAGAAGGAAAGAAAGGAAGGAAGAAATGGAGCAAAGAAAAGAAGTAAATCATTTGAAATAGCTTAAGCATTATTGCTTTGACTACTCGAATGATGGAATTGACGGTCGATGCATAACCGTTTTCATCTTCAAAGAAATACGGCTCAATAATACCGCTAGAGGATATGGCGCACCACACAGTCACCTTTGGACTATGTAGCTGTTGTTGATGTTTCTCTTTTGGGTTCGTTGGTGCCCAATTTCTGCAATTTTGCTTGTTCACGTTCTCGAGTCTGCGCTGCGCAGGAAAAATACTCAACATCCGTTTAGCACAAGATTTCCGTAATACGTAATCACTTTCCTTTAAAGCATGGACTGATTGGATTTTATAAGGATGAAAAGCTACTTTTTCTTCATTATGCCATGCAGTGTTGACCTAGGGATTCCCAAAGCAGCGAAATGCTTCCGTACAGAACGCAGAGGATTTGCAGTAAACTGCATCACTTACTCGACGTACATTTTCTTCGGTTGATACAGTAGGTGTGGGGCCATTAATCGGTTGACTGAGAGTAGAGTCTGTTTCACGGAACCTCTTAATCCACTTTTTCAATAGGTTCTTACTTGGGGCATCTCTTGGTCGGCGAATGTTGTATCGTGTACAAAATTTCCGAAGGGCAGGTGCGTATGAATCACCACCCTTAAAGTAAGCCTCGATAGCAAAAGCACGTTGCGCTCCGGTCCAACGTTGTGACTATTTAACCCGCACGCCGAACGCGTCCATCAAGACGTCTCCCCACTTCCTCGCGTATACGGTTGCCGCGTAATTCAAATTTGAAATGTGAACTTTCCCACTGGACACCCTGTACAAGATTGAATAATTCTGAAGACTGTCACTTCAACTTTTCAAACAAACAAACAAACAAATTATTTATTTCGCAACAGAACATAGTTCCAGTTACAGGACAACTCAAATAATACAGAAAAAAGTATGCCAAATGTATTACAAAACCAAGGAAGGAAAAAAAAGAAAAATTGCTACAGTTTCCAATATATAAGAATTAAGGAGAAAAGAAAACACATGAAATAAAAATATTCTCAGAAGTTCAAATAAACGCAATGCGGAAGTCAAGACATATAACAGTGAGCCTCAGTGAGAGAGGATAGAATAACACTTAAAGAATCAGCATGTATGTATATCAGAATTATTAGATACCGCATTGAAATATTTGACAGCTACATACAATGACGAATTCATCCCTAAGTTGGTATACCACCTCAGATGATCGTAACGTAATTGGGGGAAAATTGAATTAATTAAAATCAATTTGAAATTCGACGGAGCAATCTGTGGAACTATACTGTAGCAATCCATATTGAGCTTACTATATAAAAGCTGTATTATACTGATGCCCCTATCAGGATAGACTTCTTTAACTTTTCAATATAATATTACGGGAAATAAACAACGTTGCATTCTCTCTAGATTCTGCTTAAGTACATGTAATAAGGCTTCCGAACAAATGAACAGTACTCTAAACTAGATCTAACAAACGCAAAAATAGTATTTTTGAAAATTTAGTACTGGTGAACAATTTGTAATTTCTCACTATGAATCCAGCTTCATTCCCTTTTTGCTTCTTGAAGCAGAGGCTTGGGTCAAACGATTCACCCAAGACCTTGACTAGGTATGGAGTGACTTACCGGTTATAAGCGACTTCTCAAAATAAACAGAAAGATTGTTTTTGTTTTGCTCTAGAAGTAATACCAAAAATCAAACTTAATATTTTGTGACATCTCTTGCTCGGGTAACTTGATAGCTTGCGTTTTACTTGGCTTCCAAACCACCCAACATAGAATCCCAAATATTAATAAAAAATAAAAAATAGTAGGTCAGAAGAAGCGTTTTTTGTAACAGCAGTCTATGAAAGTCAGCGCTAACACAAGAATTTCAAGAGCTGTTACTCCAATCTTTATAAAATGTTTAAGCAAAATTTCATAAGAACCTTTAAAAGATCTAAGCAACTTCCCAATATAAGCGAACAAAAATTGGTTTTTGATTTGCTCTAGAAATAACATCAAAAATGAACATTTTGCGATCGGGTTTTAATTTTTTAACAGAATTCAGGCCTGACGTATATAGATTTTTTTATTTCATACGCATGTAGCGCTGTTTCTTAGATTTAACCATAAAAGTTACTAGCAGATGTTAGTAATAATGAAGTATTATTCCCAACAAATTTAAATTCTTAGTAATAAATTATTACAATTAAGCGAAAACTGGCTTTCTTTCCAAATCAAAAAGTAGAAAAGGTAAAATAAATGTTTAGGAAAGTAAAAAAGGATGATTGTTCATTTAAGTCATTGAAGTATTGATGGTTTCACTTTCTGACGAAAA